AATACTGAAACACCAGGTTCTCATGACATGCCTGAAGTGGTTTTTTTGTGGTTAGGGCTTTTCCTTTCAGGGGGCATCTAGTGTCCTGGAGCTTTTTTCACGCATTGATTTCAGAGTTTCCTTTGAAAAAGGTGTTTTGTGAGGCAAGTCAGAACTGTTTTGGTATGTCATCTGCAATCACAAGCTTATGTGGAACCTGTGAAGCACTGGTAATTAAGGAAGTTAAGAAGGTGCTACCTGAAGTTAATTTTAATTGCTCCTGGCAGAGAACTTCTTTTGTTTAAGCATTGGTTGTCATAGTGTGGTTATGTTGGGGCGTTTTCACCTCTAAAACACATGGTCTATCCATGGTGTTGTGTTTCTTTGGTGTGTTTGCAGCTCTTTTGGGATTGGAGATTTGGGGTATTGATTTGCCTTCCTCCTGCCTTTGCAGGAGGAGCTGCTCAAGTTTTGAGGTTCAATAGAAGATACAAATCCCACTGTTCCTCTGCTGTAAGGCTTTGAGGTATACCTTAATCAATTTAGAAAGCAAGCTATGATTGCATCCAGCAATAAAGCACACGCGGCCCCTTCTACTGTGCCAAATTTAGCCATAAAGGTCTGAATTCAATTCCTAATTTTCCATAGATTTCTAACAATGACTCAGGCTAATAAGTAAATCTTCCTCAGCCTGTTCCACAGCTCCAGTTCACTGAATTGTGAGTATCCATGGGGACAAGGACTGCTTTTATGCCTTTGGAAAATGAGTTCCCCCTGGGAAAACCTCCCAGCTTCAGTAGTGACGCTGCAAATAGCAGGCTGTAACTTGGCCGAGGGTTACTGACTGAAGAAGAATGTTGGCTGGATTCTGATAGGGAATAAAGCTGCAAAATCTTTTTTCTTGATATGCAAGTTTTCTCATGGCATCTGCTGTTTGTTCACAGAGAGGGGATTTTATCTTCTTTAGGATTGCTCTAAGTCATAAGTGCTTATAACTCAGTATGCAGGGTGTGGGAATGAAAGGTCCTGGATGCTATTAAACATTTATTGCATAGGTAGGATAATACTACAGATATAGGGCTGGTACATGAAAGCAGAACTGTGCTCCTGTCCATAAATCCATGGTAAACCGACAGAGAGTTCTACGGGAGACAGCTGGCAGTGGATCCTGTGGCTGATTTCACACTTGAGGCCATCTCTGATTAGAAGAGTAGTTGCGGTACATGAGCAGAGGTACGTACTTGGAATGCAGATGTGAAAATGGAATGATCTGAACAGATGTTCATTCTGCTGTAGGTATTTGATTTCTGTCCCTGGCTCAGAAGTGCCTCTGGTTTTTCTTTCTTCGTCACCAGCATGGGTCAGGCTTCTGCATAATTGGAGGTGAGCCCTGCCCTTGTTTCTGACTTAATGCACCTGCTTGCCTTACAGTCAGGCCTTCATCTGTTCAAAATGAGAGATTAAATAACCATCAGTAGATGCAGCTTTGTCAGTTTAAGAATTTAAAAACAAAACAAAGCACAAAATTCTCAAAAAACCCAGTATTTATAGGCTAGCTGGACCCAGAAGTCCTTAGGCCAGGAAGTATGTACGATATCCACATATTTAAAGTAGTTTAAAATTTTTAACATTATTGGAAATTCAAGATATTAAAAGGAAAAAAATTTTAAAATTCTGTGAAACTGCAAAGCAGCACAACTTTATAGTTTGCAAGAGCCGTCCTCCAGACCCTACACCTAAACAGTTCTATGTGTTGAATGTGAAAAATTTATGTAGTCTTTGCAAGAGCCCCTTTCTTCATAGTGGGGGGATGGAATTGATTCTCAAATCTCTTTGCTCCTTGTAAGGAATTAGGCAAGAAACTTGACCTCGTTTTTTAATCTTGGAAATCTTCTGAAGGCTCAGGTGAAAGCCAGTCTCCTGCTTGTATAATTTTCAGATCCTTAGTCAGAGCCCATATGTTACAACCTGGAGGAAATGATGCTTGGGGATGACTAACTGAACATGTTCCTGCTGTTAATTTGGGTGTCATTCCAGAAATTTAATTAGTAAGTTTTCACTTTCCTTTTGTTAACAGATTTACTTACTAATTCCTGTCTTTGCTGTTGTTCCTTATAAGGAACTTAATGAAGGGATAGATTTTATATTAACAGAGAGAATAATTTTTTTTTTTCCCCAGCTGTGATGAGTAGGGAGAAGCAGAGAACATACATGTGTTGGATTAGCAGAAATTTGATTATAGATAGGCTGTTCACTTGTTTGTATCTTCCTGCTGCAAACATCATGTTAAATTCAGTTAAATGAGTGTGGGATTTACCAGAATTGAGGCTCTAAAGTGCTGATTGGAAATTCATGAGATCACAGAATGGTTTTGGTTGGAAGAGACCTTAAATTTCATCTTGTCCACCCCCTGCCATGGGCAGGGACACCTTCCACTATCCCAGGCTGCTCCAAGCCCCATCCAGCCTGGCCTTGGACCCTTCAGGGATCCAGGAGCAGCCACAATGCAGAATTTCTTTCTCATACCCAGATGATCCTTTGGGGTCCTTCCAACCCAAACTATTCCATGAGTGACCACCTTTCTTTGTCATGACCTTTCCAAACAATCCTGTTCCCTATCTTAAAATGTAATGCATGGAGGTTGTTTCATGCTTATACCCTTGGCTTCAGGATGAGGACATTTTGTCTTGTGTAGATTATATGACGGGGAATGAGTGTCTGTGACCCCAGTGAAGGTTTCATGGGTTTGGCTTAAACCCTGAGTCATGAAGTTAAACAGGTGTATCTGCTGCTTCAGAGTAGAAAACACTTTGACCCTTAAGGCCTTTCAGAATCAGCTTATGTTTTTGCCAGTGGCTCGTGTCAGGTTCAGCCTGGAGGAATTTAGAGGAGGCTGCTTGAGGCCTGATGGCAACAGAAACCCCTCCTGTGGTGGAGGCTGCAGCCGCAGGAGTGGCCGCTCTGCCCTGGCCCTGCCTTGCCTCTCCAGCTGGAAAACAATGCTCAATTCTTCAGCAATGTTCAATGTTTTTCATCAATCTGATTAAGTTCTCACAGTGCTCAGAAACCTGGAAATGAGAGTCAAGGACTATGGTATTACTTTTTTTTTTTTTTTTTTTTTTTTTTTTTTAATTTGAAAATATTTGCAAATCTGCTGGGATCTATGTGGGCACCTTTCCTTTTCTCTGCCAGCTCCCACTCTGCTCTTCCTGCCTTGAACAGGGACTTTCTCCTTCTCCTTCCTAACAGCTGTGGCTCTGATTTATTCTACAGGTTTTAAATTAGACGGAAACTCAGCAGTAGGGAAGAAGTGATGGATTTGAGAGCAGTTCTCTGGCTCTTCTTGCCTGACTTGTTAGACAGCCTGGTTTTTTAGGTTTTTGTGGGTTTTTTGGTTTTTTTTTTTTGCTTTATTTTTTTGCTTTAGAAGAAAGGCAGCTGGTGTAGAGCAGCAGAGGTGCTGCCTGGCTCAGCTGTGGGCATTCCATGTGCTGCTGTCCCTGTGGGGCACAGGGAGCTCTGGCTGCCCTGGGGATCCAGGCTAGGTGACCATAGGCACCCTACGCTGCCCAGCCCCAGGGCTGCTGCTGCTGCTTGGGCAGGGTTTGCTCCAACAGATCTCAGAGGGAACAGAGAGCACCCTGAACAGCTCCAATACCAATGTGAACGCTCCCCCCATGCACACACTGAGCTGGGGCAGGGTTTTGTCATCTACCAAGAGCCAAATCATGGTTCCAACCCTGTTTCCTCTGATGAAGTCTCCATGTGAAGCATTTGTAGCCATGGGAATTCTCATTCCCATCTTGGAACTGTCTGGGATTGTGGGTGAGGACAGGCTGTAGAAATGGCAGTGGCTGATCCTTTTGCATCTTGGCTACAAGTCAGCTGTGTTCCCATTTAATTCACTCTGTGTGCTTAGGAGTGCAGCTCGTATAGATGTGCCTAAGTGACTTGAGAAAAGGAAGAAATCTGAGGTTAAAATATAAACTAATTAATCTTGATTGTTGGTGAGCCTTTGGCTTTCTGAGTAAGAGCACCTTCTAAAGATCCTGAAAGCTCCATTTCTAGGGTAGGGTTGGGCAGTGCTTTGGCCAAGTGGGGCAAACCACAGGCAGGCACGATGGTGGGGCTGGGGCGGAATTCCCCTGCGGCTCTGTTTCATCATCCTGAGATGTTGGAGTGAGTGTCTGAGCTTGTTTGAGATCTCCATGTGCTGCGGAGGTCCAGGCAGCTCCTGAGCTTCTCTTGAACCATGGAAGAGACAGAGCAGAGAGGCTCTGCATGCACTGGATGGGCTCACGTTACAGCCTGGAGCTTGTGGGAAATGCCCTGAAATTCTCTAGGAAAACCAGAGTAGTAGAACATGACATTTTCACATTTCTAATCTAAAAATTTCCATGCATATGCAGTCTATGCAAGAAGCTGAAGGACAGCTACAAACACTTCCTTTACCAAAAAGAAGGGAAAAGTCTGTAAAATGAAGCAGAAGAGCAAACACATAGAAAAATTGATGTGTTTGGATTTTTTTGAAGGTAACATGGTTTTAATTTAGCCTGAGGTAAACAGGATGGGCTGTAGAGCCCAGTGTGGTGAGCAACACGGACCTCAGCTGATGCTCTGTAACAGAGCATCCCAGGAGCAGCTGAGGGCAGTGGGAGCTGTCCTGGCTGTGAGAACATCAATACCTGGAGATGGCATCCTGTGGGTATTAATCCCTTGGATGAGGAGCCTCACAACACCCAAACATGAAGAAATAGCTGAGGGTTGATCCATCATGCCATGGGTGTCTTCATGGTGCCTTAAATATTAGTGCTGTCATGAGCATGGCATAGCACAGGCATCTCTTTGTCTTCTTGATACTGGATTTAGGCCGAGTGCCCTAGTTCATAATGCGGCTGGTCTCTTACATATAATTGCTCTTGACACAAGCATAAAACAAATTTAAAATTCTGAATACCCTGGCAATGCAGAGCCTTTATTTTTGTCCGTCACTAATAATAATGTCTCATTTTGGCTTATAGGACAGAAAACTCACAAAAGTAGAGAGGCAGAGATTTAAAGAGGAAGCAGAAATGTTGAAAGGTCTACAGCACCCAAACATCGTGAGGTTTTATGACTTCTGGGAATCCTGTGCAAAAGCCAAAAGATGCATCGTGCTGGTTACCGAGCTGATGACCTCTGGAACGCTGAAGACGTAAGTACTGTGCTCCTGGCAAAGGGCTGAGAATAGCAGCAGACATTTATAGCAAAATCCTACTTTTGTATGCTGAAAAAAGCCATCTTCAGATAAAAGCAAAAAATGGAGCTGTTCTCTGGTGTCTGTCATTTGTCCCTGCATTTGAACCACAGTGGTTTGACAGGCAGAATTTGGCCTTCATCTCTTTCTGCCTGCTTCCCTGTTCTGGTTATGCAACTCAAAGCTGTTCTCTGGTCTGTTTCATCTTCTGCCTGTGACGCTTGGATTTGTCAGGGTGTGTTTTGTGCTTGCTTTTGGGCTTGTATTTGCATGTTGTGTTAGGGAATTCAAATGGAATAGCACTTGAATGGTAGAATCTCTCAGATGCTGGAGGTGCTCTAGGTTATCTCCTAAATAATACTAATTAATAGCTCCTGGTACTGACAGTCTTGTTAAGGCTGATATAAAGCAGTTGGCATGAATTCTGGAACAGATTTTCAGCCCCAATGGGAGCAGTACTCAACCAGTGTGCTACTCTGCCAGTGCATTAGCAGGCCCAATGTCTTCCCCAAATGTTCCCTTGCAACAAGCGCTTCAGGTAAATAGAAAGAAATGCAGGTGTGTGGTACAAAGGTCTAAGTCTTGTGGTTAAAATTAAACTTTGGTATTCTTCTGATTCAAAATATATGAGCATATTCTAAAGCTCTTCTCTGCATGAAATGAATCGCTGAACTATAAGACTTCAAAGTATTTGGTTGTATTTGAACCAAAAATGCATATTATCATCCTCCCTAAAACTAAATGCTCTAATTCCTCCTCTGAAAAGATCTATTTCATTTAATTTTGTGATATTTCTGTGTTGCTCTTGTGACATCTAATAAGGGGCTTTTATTCATAGTGGAATTTCAGAAAAGTTCAGCTATCCTGTTAAAGCCCCTTAAATCTCTAACAAAATGTTTTCACTTCCTTTATACCCACTTGTGTGTATGTTGTGCTCCAGGTATCTGAAGAGGTTTAAAGTGATGAAACCTAAAGTCCTGCGGAGTTGGTGTCGGCAAATCTTGAAGGGTCTTCTTTTCTTACACACAAGAACTCCACCAATAATTCACAGAGACTTGAAATGTGATAATATTTTTATTACTGGACCAACTGGATCTGTGAAAATAGGAGACTTGGGTCTGGCAACACTCAAAAGAGCTTCATTTGCCAAAAGTGTCATAGGTAATGCTCCTGTTCACCTTGGCTTCCCTCGGTCAGTATTGTGGCTGTCTATTTAAGATCTTCTTTTCCCATTTTGCAGTAGTGGTTTTTAAGTTACAGATTGGTAGTGGAAGTTAAAGTGGGTTTGGGACTGTTGCCTCTACACCCCTAAAAAAATAGGAATCAGTAAGTAATGGTGTCATAACTTCCTCTTCTCCTTCCTCCTGTATCATCCTTAATGCATAGGGAGCCCAGAACCAGTGAAGTCAAAACAATAGAAATTTCAGATATGTGCTTGGCTGCTGTGGGTCTACTTAATTTCATTGAATTTAATAAACTCCTATTTGTTTATATTTGTTAAGTTTCTCTCATTTTTAACTTCTAATAACTGATTGTGCTTTTCTCTCTTGAGGGTCAGTATTTTTTCAAATAATTTTTTTGCAGGGTAACAATTGTTCATGGGACATATTGGAATAATATCCATAATAAGAATAGCGGAAATAATACAAGTAATACCAATATTGGGAATAATTCCAGAGGTACTAATACTGGGAATAGTATCAGTAATACCAATACTGGGAATAGTATCAGTAGTACCAATCTAAGGAATAGCATCAGTCATAATACCAATATTGGTAAGAATATTAGTAATACTTACACAGGTTTTTGTAAAATCAGTTATGAACAGAACACCATCAAAATACACTCATGTCTGAAGGATGCTGGCAAAGTGTCTGCATTCATTTTGGCAATAAAACTGAGCTTATAATTTTCATGAGTAGTACTGCTCCAAGGAGAGAATTAAGGAGGCTTGGAAACACTGGTGATGAGTAATGCTGCCCCCTCTGCAGAGGGAGTAGCTCTAAAGGCATATCAGTAGCTGCATCTCACGTTGGCTGGAAGGGATGAAATCAGCACACTGCGGTGTCTGCAGGAGCCTGGCCAGGGCAAACCTGCTCCTGCCAAGAGCAGCTGCGTGGATGCTGAACAGCTTCACGTTTAGCTGGGCTGTTATGGTGAAGGATGCTTGTAGGTATTCCTTTCCACTCCCAGGAATGGGAGAAAATGTCATTTTTTGTCCTGTTTTGGAATGCTGCCAAGTATTCAATTTGCTTCTTAGACTATTGTTAATCACTTTTTCAGATTTGTTTTAAATGCTCTGTAATTCATGAGATTCACTCCTGCTGTTGAGTGGTGTTCCTTCTAAAGCAAGGCAGCAGCTCCAAAATAATTTCCTGTGGCAGCTATTAACCCTTTCTGAGCAGCAGCCTCTACCTTGGTGACAGCTTTCACAAACATCCAGAGAGAGGGAGTGGGCCTCTGTGACACCGGTTTGGCTGATTTGCTAAGGCTGGAGGAATGAGTGTCTTTGAGGTGGAAGGACAAGGAGGAAGAACATAAACAAGGGAAGAGATCAAGCTTGAATTTTGTGAAACTAATTTCACAGAAATGCTTGTTCATGAGTTGAGTCTAGTTCAGAAATGTGTGCAAAAGCAGACACTAATTTTTAGGGTTGTCCTTTATGTTGCCATTTAAAAAGAATTTAGGACAAGTCAGAAAATCCTAGAATGGTTTGGATTGGAAGGGGTCATAAAGATCATCTTGTCTGCCATGGCTGGGACACCTTCCACTACCGCAGGTTGCTCCAAGCTCCGTCCAACCTGGCCTGGGATGACATTTCCTCAATTTCTTTAGGGACTTGGCTGATGGCTTGTAACTGGAGGAGGGGAGATTTAGATTGGATATTAGGAAGAAACATATTACTGTGAAGGTGGTGAGGCCCTAGCACAGGATGTCCAGGGCAGCTGTGGCTGCCCCTGGATCCCTGGAAGTGTCCAAGGCCAGGCTGGACGGGGCTTGCAGCCACATGGAATAGTGAGAGGTGTCCCTGCCTCTCGGGGTGAGATGGGTGGGCTGGATGGGATGATTTTTAAGGTACCTTCCAATCCAGACCATCCTGGGGTATGCCAGAACTACTTTTTCTGATTATATGTTACTTTAGTTACAGTTGTGCTTTTGCTGTTGATTAGTGATGACATAACAAAGCATTGATGGGATCTGCCAGGGCTGGAGGCAGTTTGGGTGCTGAGGCTGGACAGGCAGAGTTTATCTGGGTCTTTCTCATGGTCCAAGACCTGCCACTCTTATTTTGGCATCCCAACAGCTTGCTGCTGCTCTCCTTTGACACACCATTGCATTGATCTCTTTTCTTTCATCTTTTCTATGTAGAAAGGAAATAAATGAATTATAGTATGAGATACAGGTCCTGGAATTAATTACCCAAGTGTTAATAGTTTTCTGTTTTGCTTTGTAAACCCCTCCCCCCCCACCACCTTTTCAGAGTAGTTTGCTGAGCAAATGTTGCAGGTGTTGGAAGTTGCTGCATGTCTCCAAGCTGCAGCTCCCAGTGCCTCACTTCATATTTACCAAGTTGCATCAGATTCCTGACACCCTAATTCCTATTGAGTAGGACCTTGTTCTGTGAGTGGCCTCATTGATTTGTCCCACTAAACCACTGACAGAATTAGGTTTGATGTTTTGTGCATGACTCTGTAGGTGATTTATGATACTACTGACTTCCAAAGTGCTGTCTGCCTGCTGGTGGTTATTCTGTATCTCTGGAGGAAACAAAAACAAACAAAAAAAAAAAGCAAATTCGCACTGATAAAAACAAGAGTGAAGGTTCTCATTTCTTCTTCGTTTTCTCCTCCCCAGCACTGTACACATCCGTCTCTTCAGCCCGACAGAAACTATTCTATCACTTCAGTATGGGCAGGAAATGATCCATAGCTTATCTTCTTGTTCATTTTTGAAATTTTTCAGTCTTTTCCTTCCCCCTCCCCTCTGTCGTGTTTCCCCTCTGCCCTGCTTCCCTGCTTTGGATTATTGTCAGTAAGCCATGGGCATGGAAGTGCATACATTGACCTTGGTTTTCCTCCCTGGGGGATGCTTGAGCTCTTTTGAAATTATCTTGCATACATCTATACACAGTTGTACTGGGCACACCTCTCACAGGTGAAAAAGCTTGTGGTTAAAGCAATTTGGACTCCTGTAAAAATCAACATTATCTTTGTATGTCTGTGTAGGAACACCAGAATTCATGGCCCCAGAAATGTACGAGGAGCACTATGATGAATCTGTGGATGTCTACGCATTTGGAATGTGCATGCTGGAAATGGCTACCTCAGAATACCCTTACTCAGAATGCCAGAATGCTGCTCAAATCTACCGAAAAGTAACCTGTGTGAGTACACGTCCTAGCTGGTATTGGATCTTGTCATTGGAAGGTTCAAAAGCATATTTTGATGACGTGTCAGTACTGCTGAGGGTATACTGCGCTCTAGAACTTGAGGTATCTGAGCTCTGGGTTGCACAAACCTGTTTCAGGCTTATGTGTAAGCTTACAATTCTACACTTGGACTATGTTTTGATGCAGCTACATCAAATATTTTCAGTTATCTTTGTCACTAATTTTATCTCCATTGGCCACAAATGCAGCCCAATGGACTGATAGTTTAATTCTTCTTAGAGTTTTGCTTTCAATCCAGAGCCACTTAGAAATAATTTTAAAACCCACAAAAGGCCTCAGAAACTGCTTGGCAGTGCAGTTCTCTTCATCCTGTGGATGTATCCGCTCCCATGGCATTGCAGGGAGGTGAATGTGTGCAGCCATGGATCTGCTGGCTGCTGACCATGCTCTGCACCATTCGCTGCCTGCAAACCATGCTGCAGCTTCTTAGAGACATGGAATGGGTTTGATGGCTCAGGGGAGTTCCTTGCCTTTATCTCTGTTATTCAGGGCTAGGTTGGGCAGGGCTTGGAGCTACCTGGTCTAGTGGAAGGTGTCCCTGCCCATTACAGGGAGGCTGGAATGAGATGGTTTTTAAGGTGCCTTCCAGCCCAAACCATTCTGTGATTCTGTGATCCTAGAGCCACATGGTTACTCCATGTTGTTATTCCGTGGTTCTTTATCACAGTGTTCATTAGCTTTGGCACAAGGGATGTTGGCCCTGTTTTGGTATGGTACTTCAGATATGGCCTAAATGCTACCAGTGTGGACAGCTTAGGGGACACCTCCTTGGACTCTAGAGCTTTACAGAGTGGCTACAAGAGGCTCTTCTAATTTCTGGCTCTATCGCCTCATGTCCTGCATGTGAGACCGGTCAGGTACTCAGTATCACCCTGGGAGCTGGTGTTACTGGGAAGGTGTGTGTGCACCTGGAGCCACTGAGAACACCGAGCTCTTCATTGCTCCATGTACCCAGAGAAGCTGTGTGCACACCTCATAGCTGTCTAGAATATTGGTAATTAAGACTGTGTGAGGCTCTTAAGCATTGCTTATCAAAGCAATATCCAAGATGGTAAAGAATAATGATTAATCAGAGGATTCCTAATTAGATGTTAAATTTCAGTTTTTAGGCTTAAGTAGCCATTAGTTTCAACACTGATGGAAGCCTGAGCCAACTCGTTTTCTATGGCAGTAACATTTAGACAGCTCAGGATTAAATGGTAAATTATTATAGTTTTGTAAAACTGGCTTTATAGTGGCAGCTTCAGGGAGGTGGGGGGTGATGTTTATCATATAGAAGAAGCAATGGTGGGGAAGCTGTTGAAAGGTCCTCGTAGGAGGTAGTTTTGAAGCAGAACTGTCTGGCAGGGAAAACTGAAGGCAAAAGCATCAGGTACCAGCATGAAGGGTATGCAGTTTTCACCTGAATTTAGGGTAGTAGCAGTGGGAGTAAAGGCACCAAGATTCCTTAGATGGCAAAATTGGCATTACTGTTTTTCCAAGGAAAGGGTTAACCAGCTCCCTGTGTAGTGGAGAAAGCCCTGTCAAATGCAATGAGCTCCAGAACTGTCAGGCAGGAAGGAGGAGCAGGGGGTGGACCTCTGGGGTGAGGGTGCAGGAGGAGCCTCGTCCTGGGGGAGATCCATTGTCCCAGGAGGAACCTTCTGGTGGGCTCAACAGCTTCTCTAGTGGAGCTGCATCTGAAGGGGAGCTGCTGACAGAAGGGACCCTGCTCCAAGCAGCGTGAGTGACCTGTGGGGTCTGAGGAGGAGGTGGAGGATTTTGGGTTGTGGGGTCCTGAGCCAGCATCATGCAGTGGGGTCTGCCCTAAGCTGGGGCAGTGGCTACAAAAAGACAAAATTACTCTAAGATCACTTCAATGAAGAGTTAGGTTTGGTGATGCAGCAGCCTGTGTGAGCCTTGGGGCTTATAGACTGAAATACAGTCAAAAACGGAGTGTAGGCTGAATACTCCATAACATAAGAGGCTGACTTGGACTGTTTTCTTCCAGTATTAGATTAGTTTTGGGACTCTCACTACAGCAGAAGGTGGCTCTGACCTTCTTGAATGGAGAGGATGCAGAGCCCCTGAATGCTGGAGTTTCTCAGTGGGACATTTGCTTCTTTATGAAGCTCAGGCTTTTTTGCACCAGAAATACAAATACTATTTCTAGTGGTTAAAATTGAGAGTCAGTGCATTGTGAAATGTGTTTGCCGTGTCTAGCTGCCTGATGCCTTTATTTAAAAAGGATAAAATAAAATAACTTTCTTTTCCTGTCTTGGGCTCAGCATTGCAGCAGCAACCACCAGAGGTGTTGATAGCATCCTTAGGGATTGGAATTGCTGGCTAGAGTTTGCATCAAGGAGTGACAACCAACAAAATGTTTAGACTGCCTACCTTCTGTGGGGTCCCACTGAACTGATATTCCCTCTGCTGCCTAGCACAGGCAGGGTATGGTTTGGGTTTTGCCACTGTAATATCTTTTTCAGTAGTTGCTACTCTGTGTCTTAACACTCTGCCATGCCCTTGTCTGGTACTAGGACATGAGATACGCCTCAAGTCCCAGCTGTCCAAGTCACACACGTTGGTCATCCTTATTGGTGTAGAAAATGTAAACATTACCTTTCTGAGACATTATTTCAGCATATGTCACATTCCGCATGTCTGTAGAGTAATATTGTTATATTTAATTTATTTCAGTGACCTTTTATTCTGCCTGACTGTATTCTTATGGCTAAATTGCTGCTTTAATTTTTGCATTTCTGTTTTTCTATGTGTGCTTGTATGTTTGCAGTTGACCAGGATAAGGAGGTGGTCATGTTTGGGAATGTGCAGAGGGGCTCATTTCTCTGCCAGATAAGACACGCTTGTTCCAACTTGTCACCTCTCTCTGCCCTTTCAGCCTGAATGATGGAGTGTAAACATTTCAAAAATGGATATGTACCATAAATAGAAAATAATCTTTCCCATGCAGTGGGGCCAAGCCACATTTACCACAGTTCACTTTGAAGTGATTTCCTGGTCAGCATATTTGCAGTACCCTTCGTTCTGATGCCATAATCTCATTTTTCATGCATAACTTGATAGTTTTTCTTACTCAGATTTTTTTTGTGTTTAATCATTCTGCCAAATGATTTTTATGTAGACAACAGTGATGAAACATCGGAATCTGAGACCTTCCCAGGCTGCTCCAGCCTAGTGTTTCCTTAGGCATGCACTGCAGAATGCACAGCAGAGCAGCTGCATCTCCAGAGAGTTCCTGGCCATCTCCTTGGGTTTAGTGGTACAAACATGTGCTTCAGAGCAACCCACCCTGTGACAGTGTTCTGGTTTGCATGTAAAGCTTTCCTATTGTTTGTTGACATCAACTATTGAAGGTTTTTCCAGCATTCGCAGGCTGTATGCCATGGTGCACACAGACAGAATTAACTCTGTGGCTGTGGCATGATGACAGGAGGCAAATAATGCTGTCAGTGTCATTGCATGGACTTCTTGTGGCTTTTTGAGATCTTCTTAGATCTGCAGGTAACCCTCTTAGCTTCGCAGTAAGATGGAGCCCCATTCTGGAGGGAAAAAGAGATGAGTTTATAATTGTACACAGTGATGTCATGGAACAAACGCCTGGTAAAACTGAGACCTTTACCTTCATTTCCGTGACTTCAGAGAGTATGTGCCAGGATGCAGTTTCAGTTGGAAACATGGCTTCACCTTTTTTGGTAGAGAGTTTTTTCCTTTTTTTGGGAATGACATGAGCCTAGAGTTACCTTCAGGTGGAAGGTGGAGTGGTAGCCCAGAGCAGGCTGTCTCTGGGGTGGAAGGGCACTTCTAGGGGCCAAGAAAGCCTCTAGAAAACTGACCGATGTGGGTCAGACGTGCCAGTGACTTGTGTGGCATTCGCTGTGTCCCTTCAGAGCATCACATGCTGCTCTTCCAAAATGTGCTCTCTGATGGAAAATGGCAAGCGGCTGTTTTTAGACCCTGCAGAATAAGCAGCACATTTTTTCCCTCAGCATGAAGAATGCAACTTTTTCTGTATGTGTCTGGCTGTAGACTCAGCTGCCTTGTACTGGAGGGCAATAGATCACAAGTCTAACTGCTTCAGAAAGAAGGGAATGGGAATAAGTGGTGGTGAGGGAGTCAGAATAAATCATCCTCTTTGAGACAGAGAAGCTCTCAATTTGATCTAATTTTGCTATTGGTTTACATATGTGTATATATATATATATATTTAGCATTTAAGGTATCTCTATTTTCATTATGCACCTTATGCCACCCAATGAGCCCTGCATTTCACATGTGGCAGCATTGAATTTATTTTAATTTATAAGAGGTTGTACAGCTTTCAAATGGTTATGGATAATCTCTTAGCTAATGCACTTTGAATTTTGGTGCTGTGTTTCCTTGGGAATGCTCAGGGAAGACCGATGGCTTTTGTTTAGGTGAATGAGATGAGTCCTTTGATGTCAAATAGAGTCCCCCTTCATTGTCAGGGGCACTGTGCTGCAAGGGAGGCCAGTGAGCTGGTCTTGGAGAGTTTAATGAAGAGTAAGGAACAAAAGCATCCTATAGCACAGGGACAGGGAGAAAACACTTTGCAAAAGCAGCTCTGTTCAGTATTTCACTTGGCATGTTTTGTCCTCATTTGTTTTAGTCATCTAATCATAGCTTAACTGTTCAGCAGCTTAGCACAATGGGTATTTGGAGAGGAGTTAGTGTTCCATTCAAAGATGGGGAAAAAAAAGTGGAAGAGTTGCTGTATTTTATTTGAGGAAGCAATTTGTAAGGTCAATATTGGGAGCCAGTCATCGAGGATCTGAGGCTCTGGGCTCACTGTGCAAGGGCCTCCCCACCATCACAGGGAGGAATTTCGTTCTTATGTCTAATCTAAACCTGCCTCTCTTCAGGTTAAAGCCTTTATTAGATCTTATTATGCTTTCTTCCTGGAGAGTGTCACACTAATACTGAAATCAGTTTTGTCATAGCAAACAACAGTGAATTGAAATGTATAGGTTTATCCTTCTTCCTGATGGAGAACACACTAGACTCCTGTAGCTTAAAGGTGAATTGTGGTAAAGAGGAGTCCTGCAGAAAATACATTTTGATGGTGCTTTGTTTTCTTTCATTTCTAATTCAGGTATCAGAGCTCTCCTAAGAGCTTGCCTTGGCATATTGGAGCCAGCTTGGGCTTTGCAGCCTGGGCACTCCAGTGCCTTTTGACACATTCTTCTAATATACAAAATTTGAACCCTTGTCTCGTCAGTAAGATTTAGGTTTGCTTAAGCAAATAATTCTTTTTAGTGAGTCACAGCCAGCCAGCCACATGTACAGATTATTTTGTTTTGTTCTCACAAAAATGGGTTTCTTTCTATCTCCGCAGCTTTCTGCTGAAGCTAAACCAAGGAGCTGAGACTTTGAGTGACTGTTTTTATTACTGTTTTTTTCAAAATCTACAATTTACATATTTCACGCTAGAATATCAAGACAAATAGGGGGTTGTTGATCTAAAATTAATTAATAAAGTTTGAAGTAGAATCTGAGGCTTGAATAGCAACAGAATGTTCATAAAAGGATAAAAGTATAATCTATTCAGAAATTCTGAGACTCCAGCCCTCATTGAAATTCATCCATAAAATTTATTCAAGACGTAATTCTGTATATTACTTGCAGATCCTCTTTGAAAATACCTGTTTTCTTCTTTTAATCCACTGGGTGAGCCAAAAGTCCACTCTGCAGATCTCCTTATCTGTGACTGCACGAGCCTTATTTACTGTTATTTCAGAGGAGAACTTTAAAAGGATTTATATGGAGCTAAATGTCCAATTCCCATTCAGTTACATGCTTAACCACATTTTGTTTTTTAGATAAAGGAAATTGTGTTTCCTTTTTGTTCTGCTCATTGCCTTCATTGGAAGTGCTTTGGTCCTTATTGATAAGGTCCCACGGCATCATCTCTTCTCAAATAAATTTTGTCATATTTTGAGCCGTATAGATCTTGGTTTAATAGGTAGAGTTAATAATGTGTTCTTAAAAGGGAATAAATTAATTCTGGGATTTATACTGGACATCAAAAATAAACCGAAGAACTTCTTGCATTGCCACTTGTCACCCATAGCTGAATATATACATGGATGTGGGGATACTGATTCTGCTTCCCGTGGCTTTCTTCTGCAGTGGGTAGTTGGTTTTTCTCCTTGAAAGGCCGTGCTCCTAGGTTGCTGTTCCAAATCTGTTCCCAGCAAAAATGCTAACATTTGACAGAGATTTAACTAGATTTATAGGTTGCACCTGCTCTATCACATATTCCCAAGGGGTTTCTAACAATATCCTAGGAAATTCAGGAGCAATGCAGAGATGTTGTATTCTCCTGTTTCCCTGCTTGGTTTTGGGGTTGATCTTTAATTTTTTTTATGTAGAGGGGAATGTGTTGGAGACTGTTTGGGTCGTGGAAGAGCAAGAGGTTTGTGGGAAGCAGGCATATGGACTATTCCAAGGTATTTTTCACTCATTTTCAGTACTAGCTATCTGAAGAAAGCTATAATTATCTGCCTTTATTCTTTTAGTGCTTTGGGAGTTGAGGCAAAAACATAAAAGGAATAATTTCAGAAAATGGTTATTTTTTAAATTTAAAGTTAGCTGTTTCTTTAATATTCACTTCAGAGTCCAGAAGATATAAAGGTAAAATTTGCAAAGGTTGGTAAAGAAAAAGGGATACTTTCCCTGTGTATGGCTGAGCTCGTGTAAACTAGTGTATTAATTTTGAAGTGCAATGGTATTTAGAAATATAGTACCCCTAAATCCTCAACTCAGTTTTGCATTAAGATTAACAAAAGTATTTGTAACTTCCTGGGTTGAATTACCTCTAAAATGCAGAGAAAATATGCTTAATTAAAAGGTATGATGTAATTATTTTTCACATTAAATTGTTTTTCTTTATGCTTTTAGGGTATAAAGCCAGCAAGCTTTGAGAAAGTTACTGATCCTGAAATTAAGGAGATAATTGGGGAGTGCATCTGCAAAAACAAAGAAGAAAGGTTTGTTTCAAGGGATTGAGTTTTATATTAAGTAATGTGAATGCAGGGATTTCAGAACTGTCTGTGGATTTCTGCTCTGGTCTGTGGGTCTCCCCTGTGCAGAAGAAAATGAAGCATGGAAGTGCAAATATAAATTATTTCCTGCTTTCCTGACATTCAGTGTCTTTCAGCCGCTCAGCATCATGTGGAGCTGAGCTAGGATATTCTTGCAATTTCTGGTTCTGCAGTCCAAAAAATGTCACTGGGAAGGTTCTTTAGGGGGCAGGGAGGGCGATAAAAATTGATGTGGTGGATTCATCACGAGCTGTGGTACCAGATTTCATTGCCCTCTGGACATGGAGACATGTCCTGCCTAGTTTCCAGCTTTAGTGTTAAAATTTAATGTTTTACTGGTCTCTGCCAGTTTGTCTTGTGCTGAGTATTTCCTGACTTTCACAAATACAGTTTTAGGGACTGTAGCTGACTGCCTACAGAGAATCTATTCTCTGGTACTCTTTAAGCTCAGATACTTAAAAGTTGAACAACGCTATAATCTGCATTTCTCTAAGTTCTTGGATATTGCTAAAGCCTTGAGAAATGGGAAATGTCACTTTTTCAGTTTCACTTCCTTTTAAAAATCCCACATCTTTTCAAAAAGAACACAAATTCATTATGGGTGAACACTAAACAGTATAGATGTTTCCACCTTTAACAGCAGTTTCTTTTTACAAACCTTTCTAAAATTGTTGACTTGCAGTGTTTGATTCTTATTTTGTATCCTTTGCAGATATAAAATTAAAGATTTATTAAGTCATGCCTTTTTTGCTGAAGATACTGGGGTAAGAGTGGAACTTGCGGAAGAAGACCATGGTAGGAAATCCTCAATTGCCTTAAGACTCTGGGTAGAAGATCCTAAGAAACTGAAAGGAAAACCCAAAGATAATGGAGCCATTGAGTTTACTTTTGATCTGGAAAAGGAAACTCCTGATGATGTTGCACAAGAAATGGTAAAATACACTTCTGATAAAAATGTGTATAATTTAGAAAGTAGTGCACAAATCTCAAAGGACAATAGGAACGAACTGGCTAAAGTAACTTCACTTGAACCACTCCAGCTGTCCAGTTTAGGCGCTTTGCATTGATTTTGGAATGACTACTGCAAGAAAGGCGTGAACAGGGAACAGCTAACGGAAACATATTGTTTGAAAACAGATGCCTGAAATCACAGTTTACATAGCTTAGGGACCGTAGAGGTCTGGTCTACTTTTTTATTTTGCACGCTCTTCTGCCAGTTTCTATAGGCTGTTGAAATTTATTTGTTTATGTATTTAAATTTATTTGGAATCTGTTTAGTTCCAGACAGCAGCTAGAAATACATTAGAAGAGTTCAGAAGTTCAATCACAAAATATTCTGCATTGAAATCTCCAAAACACTTTGGCCCATCTTCTTAGAAGGAATGTAGATGAGAAGGTCTGTGTTCAGCTTCTCTACCCCCAAACTTTGATAGGAAACTGGACTCACGGAGTTAGGAGTGAGCTTTGGATTTTTTAATGGATAAGTTTCACTTGCTGAATTTCTGTACTTTTATAACTGTGGGGTTTTGTTAGAGAATTTGTGTTCCATTTTCATCACATTGTCCTTGAATGTGGTGGTGTCTTTGCTGTAGTTGTTTTGGTGTTCTAATGTCACAGAGGCTCAGGGTCAGTAAGCACTGAGCCAAGGGTCTGAATGTTCCTGTGCTTGCAGAAACATTCCTGTTCTTGTGGAAACCTCCCTATTAGACTCTAAATCCCAAGGGATCCCATTTAGTGATATCATCACCACTCGTGTTCTGCTCAGGAGGCACTCATTTTGGTAATGCTGCCTTGCTCTGCTGGAACTCATCACCATCTACTCCATGTTTAATGGGAGGAATTCAGGCTCCTTTGCCTTCTTGCCGTTAGTTTGCTGTAGATCCAATGTTTTTCCGGCAATATATTATTACAGAACTCATCTAGTTTAAAAATTGCTCTGGTACCATTACTTACTGTTGTATTTTACATTTAAATATTGATGGAAATATTTGGAATTTCAAAGTTCTCTGAGCTGCTTGATCCATAGTTATGATGTTTTATTTTGAAGAGGAAATAATTCTCATCAAAAGTGTATTTAAAAGGATCATGCCCAAACTACAGTGATACTGTACCCATTCCCAAATAATTCCCAAATAATTTAAAAATCTGTATTCTACATTAATGTGTACCTAAGAGACTGTCCATTAAATGTTTTCAAACCTGAGGCTGTTGCAGGGGCAGAAAAGGGGGATATTAATTCCTAAATGTCTTTTTCTAGTCCTTATGAATTGTGGAACACCAAAGCCACATGCTTTCATCTGTTTGTTGCTTTGTGTGCTGTGGAAGAGAAGAATGCAGGAGACCTGAGTACAGGGAATTATTCATCATTGCTGATGAGTTTTTGGTAGTCAGGCAATCCCACCTGCCCAAAGGATGTGGGCAGAGGGAACTGGAAACATTCTAGTGGGTTTGGAAAGTGAAGTTAGCTCTTGAAGCTGCATTTTAAGATGCTTTACACCCATTAATTTTAGCAGTGAAAATCTAAGCTGTGAAAGTGTCTTATGTTTGGGCAAGAGCAAAGCAGGAAAGCCTCTAGATGTAGGTACTTTCAAATCTGTTGAATATGCATGTTAAGAATGTAGAGAGAGCAGACAGAACTCTGGTAGCTCATGATTAAATGAAAGTTCGTGCCTTGCACTGCTGGAGATTATGCAAACAAATAACACAAAGATGAATTTCCAACTGTTGAGCAGTTGAGTTCTGAGAAGCCTGGTCCCTTTTTCCATCAAATGGGAACAGTTTGCCTTTTCTTTGTAAAACTCAATCAATACTGACTGACTTCACTATTTAAGATAAGTTAATTTGAAACATAATTCTGTTAGCATCTTGTCCTTCATGATTTGCCGTGCTATTAAGTAGAACAATTTGTATAACTCTGTATGCTGGACAGGTTAAGACAATGAATTCACATTTAGGGGCAGTTTGATTCACTCCAGGTGCATTGTTCAGAGATTCTTTTTACTGTTTTGTCTATTCTTTTAGTGTAAAAAAAAGAAAAAGAGGGAAACCCATCTGCCGTTAAACTTGCTCTCCTCAATGGATGTTCAGTGGTGGAGAATTAGAGCCAGTATATATTCAAGCCTCCGACATTATATGCTGGGGTTTTTTAATTCATCAGGATTAGAAGTTTTACTGAGAAAGAACTCCACTCCATCAAGCTCTTGAGTTACTGTTCTTGTCAGAAATAAATTTATATAAATTTGTGTTGTTTCAATAGGATGTTTTCTTTGTTGGGAAGAGGTTTCAAGTATTGTTTGTGTGCTTGTGTGCGTGTCCAACCATGTGCTCGGGACCTTGCTAAGTGTGTGCTCCTCTGCAGATTGACTCGGGGTTTTTCCACGAGAACGATCTCAAGATCGTGGCCAAGTCCATCCGTGACCGAGTGGCGCTGATCCTCTGGAGGAGGGAGCGCATCTGGCCCAGGATGCAGTCGGAGGAGCGCCGCGACTCGGAATGCCTGGACAAACTGAAGGCGCCGCAGGCACAGCAGGTCCAGGTCACCTACCTGTCCCACACGGGCCACCACATCCTGTCGGAGCCGGAGGAGCCGGAGGCAGACCAGCACCCCTTCCAGCAGAACCTGCCCACCAGCGTCACCTCTGTCGCTTGTAAGTCCCACATTGGCTTCATGGGCACACAGGGATGAATGTCGTGAGGGGGAAACACACAGTGACCTGAACTCAGATGAACTGATGTGGCTGGTTTTGCACAGTAGCCCAAAACCCACAAACATCTGGGACATACGGGTGATAATTTTGAAAGCAATGAAGTTTAAAGAAAACAGTATTATATAGATATCTCTATATAACTCTATATATTTTGGTACTAAACAATTATCACAGAGTTTCTGTTTTACGTTCTGGGCTTGTACATAAACGCATTTAAGTAAAAGATGTGTTACTTTTAGCAAGACAGCTGCTGCTTCAATTCAGGTGTTTTATAAAGGGCTATACTGATGTCTGCTTCAAATACTGAAATATCCATGTGTACCTGTACAGGAAAAATTCCTTTACATGATATGAGAAATAGCTACATTTGCATACAACACAATATTGCCACATTCACAAAGCTTTTTATCTCAAGCTAAAATGAGCACATTTCATTTTTTGGGATCATGCACTTATTTCATGCTAATTCCTTTGAAGAACACTGCAATTATGGCTCTTTGTTTCTAGTGTTGAATGAATGCAATGAAGTGACTTGTGCTTCCCATGGCTGTGCTGGACATGAGTTGGCAAAATGTTATACTAAATATAACCCCCACAATTTATTTCCTCCTCCTCCTCAACTTTTAACCAGAACTTGGTATTATTTGGCAATTTGCTGTTAGATCATTTGAACATTTTCTTAGCATATGACCTCTATAAATTACTGTGGCCCTCATTCATATAATTTGAGATTAAATGTAAAAGTGAAATTAGTAACTTAATGTGTGCAATGTGCATTCTATAAAAATCTGAGACTGACTCACAGCTTTTACTTTAGCCCTCTACCATTAGACTCTCCTTTTTTTTTTCCTTTGAGGTCCTCAATAATTGTTTGTAATAAAACAGAATGTTAATGCAGCAGAAATCCCATCATGAGAGTAGGGCTTTGTTGGCTCTTCCAAAATGAATTGAATAAATAGAGAGGGGAGTTTAATTTTGGGAAAAAAAAAAACAGCTGGGAGAGTAACAGCTTGGGAGTACTGAAGAGAAATGTAATCTCTGGTGCTATTGAAAAATAATTTTTTATTTAAAAGCCAAATAAATAAAACTTTATTTAGAATATGGAAAAAAGAGACAGTGGAAGGTGTTGGGAAAAGAAATAGTATTTAAGTTTAGCTGTAACTTAAGATGGTTTTTGAAACTGTGTTGCAGTTTTCTTTCAGTTTTGAATTTTAAATCCCTATTAGAAGCTATTTGTCCTTGGGATGCATCTAGCTGCGTCTGGTTGTCTCATTTCCTTTCTCAAGTGAAGAAAGCAGTAACTTAGGCTGAAACAGAGTTGGGCACTTTTATTTTACATACTTTAAAAGTTGTGAAAATATTTTTTTTAAGTCAGTAATACCAATATTTCCAGTTCCCAAAGGACCCGTGCTTGCCCAGTGCCCATAACTGGGCAGTTCCACGGGTTAACTGGGCAAATGCTCCATGAGAAACTTCCACAGAGCCAAGTGTGCCAAACCCACTGGAACCTGCACAGGAGTTTGTGTCTTACTTTAATTGCACTACACTCAAGCAGAGCATGGCTTGCTGAACTAAAATAAAGCTTACACCAGAGAAGAATTTTGTAATTTTCAGTGCTGCTAATAAAAGCAGTGTTAAAGTCAGTGCATCCCTGAAAGATGGAACTCTAAAAGACCCCATAATCTGCTCTGAACATGATAATCGAGGTTTCCTCTCCTTTCATCCTACAAAATCTGTAAGCATCTGCAATTCTTAAATGTCAACCGTATGCCCTTTAAAGGATATAGTAATGTGCCTGAAATATCAGTGTGTGCAGAAATCCATGGGGATGGGTTTTGGCTTAAGAGAAGCAGTGTGTGCCTTTTGTAGAGAATAATATTGATGTTGTATAATTTATTTATATAAAGAAAGGGCTAGAGTAGTAAATATGCTAATTACATAAACCATGGTTACCTTGCTCTAAAATAATCACTTGAACATGGGGAGCTGTTGATCTTTTAATAAAAATGACTGTTTTCCAGCTGACAGCACGTTTGACAGTGGCCAGGGCTCCACTGTTTATTCAGACTCACAGAGCAGCCAGCAAAGCGTCATCTACTCGTCCCTGCCAGACACTGTCCCTCCTGCCATCCAGAGGGTGTACAGCCCTCCCCTGAGTGAGGGCCAGCCTGTGCCCCACAGCCTCCCCCAGCTTGGCCACTACCAGCAGCCCTCAGCAGTAAGTCCAAAGCTTTTTCAAATAGTTCTGTATCCTGGGTCATATTTCATATTATCATTTATGCTCTTGTTCCCAGAGGATATGGGTGCCAGGGGTGTGTGTATGTATTCCTCACTCACTTCTGCACATCGTGACTTGCTCAGTCTGTTATCGGTGTGTTGGCACTGAATTGCATTAGTGGCTTTGCAGCAAAGCACAAGAAGGACATGGACCTGTGGAGTGTGTCCAGAGGAGGCAACAAAGATGCTCTGCGGGCTGGAGCCCCTCTACTCTGGAGCCAGCCTGGGAGAGCTGGGGGTGCTCGCCTGGAGAGGAAAAGGCTCCAGGAAGACCTCAGAGCCTATTCCAGGGTCTAAAGCACCTCCAGAAGAGCTGGAGAAGGACTGGGGACAATGGATAGAGGGATAGGGCACAGGGAATGGCTTCCCACTGCCGGAGGTCAGGGATAGATGGGATACTGAGAAGGAATTGTTCCCTGTGAGGGTGGGGAGGCCCTGGAAGAGGTTTCCCAGAGAAGCTGCAGTTGCTCTGTCCGTGGAACTGTCTGTCCCTCATGCTGCTGTCTCTCCGCAGCCTGTCCTGCCCGCGGTGCCAGCCACGCCTGCCGTGGTGCCCCAGCACTACCAGGAGCCAGCGATGCCATTCCCCGTGGTCCCCAGCACCGTGGCCTCGCTGCCAATGGGGCAGGCGCCGCCACCCGTGCTGGCCGGCCAGCAGGTGAGAGCTGGGCTCTGCCATGGAGCCGTGTCCATCTCAGCCCTTCCGTGGGGCTGCTCTGCTTCACACAGGGTGCCCAGAGCAGCTGTGGCTGCCCCTGGGTTCCTGGAAGATTCCAAGGCCAGGTTGGACAGGGCTTGGAGCACCCAGGGACAGTGGAAGATGTCTCACGTTTCTCTGCAAAACATCCCAGAGCACCTGTGTTCCTCAGAGACAGCAGTGTCCTATGAATGTCCATGCTAAGGAGGGTAGGGTAGGACAGCAGAAGAATGGAAATTAGGGTGAGAAATTCATCTACCTACAGAGTGAATTGTTTTGATCTTGTATCAATATGTACTGGTAGATCAGACATGTGGGATCAATGTTGTATCTCCTGACTTTTATTTATTTTTCCAGTTTGAGTGTCCATGCATTTACACTGCTAAAGTTATAATGAGGCAAAGTTACCTAATCTGCCTGGATATTTTCCCTTCCCTATGCCTTACCCAACTCACAAGCATTTTTAAAGACACAAGCTGGATTTGAGAGGGAGGTTTTAGGAAACACCACAGTTTTCCTGCTCTAATGAGCGCAGTTTTCCTGCTCTAATGAGCACGGTTTTCCTGCTCTAATGCCACGTCTCTTGGAGTGGGAGGTGGCTGAGCCACAGGTGCCAGTGTCCTCTGTCCCCTTGGTTAACTGTGGGCAGCTGTTTGAGCTGCAGATTAACCCAGCTGGGGTGCAAGAGCAGAGCTGGCAGCTTTATGAGCTCCAGCCCAGTGCTGTGGGCATGCGGCTCTCCCACCCTGGAGCTGGGGCTTGGTCCTGCAGGAGCTCCTCCATGAGGTGAGTGGAGTCCCTCCATCCCAGGTGGGCTCCCTCCATCCCTCAGACAGTGTTCAGGTGCCTCAGCCTTGGCCAGTTTGCTCTGTCCCATCACCAGAGTCACGCCAGACCCCGCGCTGCCGTTCCCATGCGTTTGGGATTGTCAATGGGGAGATACCTCATCTTTCCCAAAACATGAGATGGCAGAGGTTCTGGGTGCTGCAGGGCCTGGTGAAGCCACCAGACTTACCTGTGGTCCCAGGTAAGTCACCCTGAGCCAGCCTATGCCTCAGGGTCATCCTTTTGAACCAGAAGGATTTTTGAAGTACTTCAGAGCTAATTAGAGGAACTGAAGAAGAAGATGCCAATAGCACATAAAATGTGGGGGTTTGTTACTGATGATTTCCAGCTTTAATGCAACTTTTTCTCTGTTCTGCTGCCTAAAGCCTGGCAGGCCAGGGGAGCACTACTTTCTCTGGAAAAGTAAAGCTGCTTTTTTGGCTACCACATTTTTGCTACAGTACATCAGAAATACCTGAAACCTAGCTTTTACTTTTATTGTGGTTGATTGTGTCTCAGGTAATACGTGTTGTATTTTCCACGCCTGCTCCATTATGTAGCAACTTGTGCTTGCCAGGATGAGCTGGGTATCAACTGTATCTTGGAAGTTTGTGGGTGGGGATTTCACAGGACCAACTGGAACAATCTCTGGGAGTTAAATAAAGAGTCTGAGTCATTACAAATAGCCTCTCCAAAACAATTAGCACTTGTCATTTTAGGTACTGTATCTTGCATTTAAATGTGTTTTAAACGTGGGCTCCTGTGCAGTGTTTGAATTAAGAGTGCTCATCTCTCCTGGGAGCTGTCCCTGCTGGAGCATGACCAAGGCAGGGAATGGAGCTATGAATGGGGCTCCATGCCTGGAGAAAAGGGGGCTCAGGGAGAACCTTCTGACTCAGCACAACTCCAGAGAAGAGGGGGCAGCCAGGGAGGGTTGGGCTCAGCTCCCAGGGAACAGGGACAGGATGAGAGAGAATGACCTCAAATTTTGCCGGGGAAGGTTTAGGTTGGATATCAGCAAAATTTTCATCACTGAAATAGTGGTTAAGCATTGGAATAGGCTACCATGGGGAGTGGGGGAATCACCATCCCTTGAAATGTTCAAAAAACATCTTGGTGTGGCACATGAGGACATGTTTTAATGGTGGACCTTTCAGTGCTGGGTTAGTGGTTGGACTCAGTGATCTTACAGGTGTTTTCCAACCTTAATGAGCCTGTGATTCTCTACTCCAAGTGCCAGGTGTGTCCTGAGAGTGAGTTATGGAGAGATGAGGAGCTTGGCCAGCCATCTGGTTCTTTGGCAGTACGCCAGCAGTAACCTTGTCCTCCTTGTCCCCGCAGCAGCAGCCCATCTCGCAGGCAGCGTCCCTGCAGCAGGTGCTCAGCAGCCAGCCCGTGTGCCCGCTGCCGCCAGCCCCCCACCTGCTGCCGCCGTTCCCGGCGCAGGGCTCGCAGGTGCCCGCCAGCAGCACCCCCCTGAAGCCCCTGCAGATCTCCACCGTGCCGCAGCTCCCGCCTGTGGCCCCTTCCCAGGTAAGGAAAGCCTGTCAGCACAGCTGTTTGAGGAGAAATTTCCAGCTAATAATTAACATGATTTCCAGGTTTTGTGTAGCTATTTTGACTGCATGCCAGTTTAATTAGGCGATAAGAATATTATTGCTCTTTCCTAATTCCTTTATATTTCTTTGTTATTTGTTTGGGGAATCAGAATCTCCCTTGTGTCCAAGTCTGTGCCATCCAGTTAATGGCAGCTCCAAAATGGCAGTAATTTTTTTGGGGTTGGTTTGGTCTTTTGGACTGTCCCCTCTGGCACAATCTCTTCCCCATCCCAGACTTGAGGGCATGAGCAGTTGCCTGTTTTTATTGCTATTTTCTGATCTCCTGACTTCGCCACTTCCCCCAACACCTGTCAGCCATGCTAGTGTCTGCTCTGGGTCTGTTCTCTGGATCAGGGACAAACCCTTCCCTTGGCTTAGGAAGTTGGATGGTGCTGTCACTGTGTTTGGTAGTGACAGGCACCATAACATGAAGCAGCTTGTGCCAAAGGGCAGGAGCAAACTGCTGCCATGATGCTGATGTCTGCTCCATCACTGGGAGGTTTTGTTTGTAAAAACTCTTTTACTGGGCTCTTCCATGCTGCATGAGTTGAAGCTTGTTCGAAAACAAGGGTTTAAATTGCCCCACTTAATTTTGCATGAAAGAGTTTTGTGTTAGGTCTGGCCCAATTCCTTTTAATTTCTGTTAAAATGAAAGCAGCTTTTAATTAGGATGTTGCTTGAAGGCTTCAAGCTGGTGTTAGAAGTACACTAGCTTCTAAGCTGGCGTAAGCTTCTTAAGCTTCTAAGGTATAAAAATGTCCCCCTCAAATGTTGTTTTTTTGCTTTTAATAATGATTTAAGCATAAATCAGTTTTTATTACTGCTTGTCAAGCTCAGGGAATGAATGGAAGTGATTAACAAACAGACATAATTACCCTCCTGGCACAGGTGGTTTTTAGGGACTTGTGTTGCAAATGAACTGCTTTATACCATCAGTGAAAGCACTGGCAATTTATGCAATATTTTATTTTTTTCAGATTCCTCAGTTTCCTGTCATTCCTGCAATTACTCCTCTGGCAGGACTAGACAGTCTTCCTCCAAATCTGTCTGACATCCCTCCTGCAAACGTGCCCCCCATTCCTGCTCCCTCCCAGTACTTTGCTCCAGCCGTGATCCTGCCCATGAACCCCACGCTGCCCATGGCACCTAACTCTCCTGCCCTGCCCATGCAGGCTGTCAGCCTGCCTCACACCACCGTGGCTTCTGTGGTCCTACCCTGCCAGCCCATCGTGCCGAACATGCCGGCGGCCACCATCCCGCTGCTGGCGGTGGCGCCGCCGGGGGTGCCCCCGCTGCCGCCGCAGCCCGTGTTCCAGCCCGCCTTCCAGCCGCGCCTGCCCGCCGACGCGCCCAGCTCCCAGCCCGTGGCCCAGCCACAGCCACCTCCTCCGGCCCTGCAGCCCAGCGTGATCCACCCTCCCGAGCCGGCTCACCAGGTAAATCTGCGGGGCGCAGGGCCGCGCGCTGCGGGCTGCTCCAGGGCACTGCCCTTCCTTCCTGGGGCTCTCTGCCTCGTCAGTGTTAATCCTCGTTCTTGAGATGTTTTGTTGACTTCTTGCCCTCAGTTCTGGAGGTGGTGGCTGAAGCTGTGAGCTGTGGGATAACAGGTAATATCCTCAGCCAAGGACAGGGTTATCAAGGCTATAGGGCATAATACAGCTAGCTTTGGACAGTAAATGAGCAGAGCACTTTCTGAATTTCCTCTTCCTTCTTGGTCTCAGATCTTGGGAAGTGTGAGCTGTGGTTCTCCCAGGTCGGGAGGGTGTACCAGCCTTGCCAGTGCCTGTAGCTGGTCCATGTGGGATGCAGGGGCTGCTGGGTGCACACAGCAAATACAGGGGAGCTGGCGGGAGCAGTGGAGTTGTTTCGGTGTAGAACATGTTTAAAACAGCAAAGAGAAGTGGCCCTCTGCTAAGGACTCTGGGAAGAAGAGTGGAAAGAGAGCACTGGAAAGAGAGTGCTCTGTGGAAGAGTACTGTCAGACTTGCAGGGCAGGGATGGATTCTAGCTCTAGCTGCAGACCCTTTCCCCCTTGAAAAAAATGAAGCATAAATGAGCTCAAGCAGTATTTACACAGAAACTGCCTCAGGACTGAGAGTCTGTAAATACTTCTCTTGCCACATCTGTGATATGTCAATGTGAAACACAGTCTGACCAGAGCAGGAGAGGGCACTCAAAGGGTTAACAAAGCATTTAGAAAATCTGTATTCTGCCACATCCCTTCACCATAACACACTAATTAAAATTTGTTACATCCCATCCCAACCTGTCATGGCATCTTCAGAGCAGTACATAGTTTTAAAATTTCTCTCTTCAGCCATATATTTCGTACAGGATTACTGTAGTTGAGAATGTCAGCAGCATGGAGCTTGGGAATGTTACTCAGTGTTCCTTGTGGCTTTAGAGGGAATGGAATCAAGCTTTAGAGGGAATGGAATCAAGCACATTGGACACAGTGAGCATGGCAAATACCAGAACTGGAGAGCTGATGTTCCCAAACTATCCTAACACAGTCATTATCTATCAAATATGTGTAGAAGAATTGCAAATGGAAGCATTTAAGATAAAAAAATAACTATTACAATGTGCAGAGGAATATTTTTTAAAGCATTTTTTTTATTTGAAGACTTCTAATGGAGGGGTGTTTCTGTATATAGTGCCATGCTGTTTTCACAATTGATGTTTAGCTCCTCTGAGTTTTGTTTTGCCTGGGTACATCTGTATGGGCATTCACTTAAGGGCTACACTTGATGATCCTTGTGGGTGCCTTGCAAGTCAGAATATTCTGTGATTCTGTGATTTGACATTGAAATATTTTGTGAATTATTTTAGTAATATAAGATTTAAAATTGAACCACCCTTCTCTGGCATTACACCACGCTTGTCATTCTAACAGCTCCCCCTTGGGCAGCCATGTAAGTCCGAGGTGTTGTGAGGCACATCCTGTCTTTACTTTTATCTACATTAAAACCTGGAATAATAGTTTTGGCTCACACCCAGAACCTGCTGAGAGCATGCAGCAGTGAAATCATGTGGCCTAGTTCTCATCTGAGTCTTATTTTTTTTTTTAGTGTATTTTCCAATAGCCTTAAGTCTCTATGTGATGATATTTCAAAAAAATTAAAATTTGTGCACACTTTTACCTAGTACTAAAAGTCTTTTTTTCTTCCATATGCTTCTTTCGTTCCCTCTTCCTCTTTCCACAAGCTCAGTCCCCCTGGAAAAATACATGATGTACCTAAAAGGAGAATGTTCTGATTTTAAATGTACAACCCAAAAGGACTGTTATACAGAATATCAGCCCAAACTCTAAGGTAGCTGCCATCCTGTTGCCTGGGTTTGGTCCCCACCAAGTGCTTACACACTCAACTTATTTTAATGCACTGGAGAAATCCACTGAGATAAGTGAAACTCCCACTGTCCACATGGACATGTTGGTAGGATTGGGGTCTTGGGGCTTAGCACATCAAGAGTTAAGTTGGGACTTCAGTGTGTAAACTGCAGTAAACTGAAGTAGGACACTGGTGTATATTCAGTGAAAAGGGTTAATTGTGTCATTTGTACCAGGTCCTGGTTCTACATATCTGGCAGATTTCTTAAAATACCCTAAGTTAGGTTATGGGTAGAATGTGTTTTTCTTTGCACGGACAATGGGGGTTGTTGAAAGCAGAGCAAAGTATTCAGGAGAACAAATTCATCACCTAAGATCTTAAAAGGAAGTCCAGAGGAGGCCATGGAAATGCTCTGAGGGCTGGAGCCTCTCTGCCCTGGAGCCAGGCTGGAAGACCTGGGAGTGCTCACCTGGAAGGGAGAAGAATGCAGGGAGAGCTCAGAGCCCTTCCAGGGCCTAAAGGGGCTCCAGGAGAGCTGGAGAGGGACTGGGGACAAGGGATGGAGGGACAGGACACAGGGAGTGGCTTCCACTGCCAGAGGGCAGGGATGGATGGGATATTGGGAAGAAATTCTTGGCTGTGAGGAAGGTTACGCCGTGGCACAGGTTGCCCAGAGGAGCTGTGGCTGCCCCGGATCCCTGGAAGTTTCCAAGGCCAGGTTGGATGGGGCTTGGCACAGCCTCGGATAGTGGAACGTGTCCCTTCCTATGGCAAGGGGTGGAATGAGATGAGCTTTGAAGTTCCATCTATCACAAACCATTCTGGAGTTACGTGATTTTTCCTACTAGTAAACTAGTACCTGTACCTTTGTCATAATGGTATAGAAAGAATCCTTAACATTTATTTGGTTATTTCATAGGAAGTTTATCTTTGTAGTTGTTACTGAGAGCACCCATACCCAATCAACTCAAACTGCGAAGTTTGAGTCCTTTCTTCATGAACACCAGTGACTTTGCTTCCTTGTCACGTGTTGAGCCCTTGGTGCAGAGATGTGTGCTAACAGCTCTCGTTGTGTTGCAGCCCGTGCCTGGACACACTCAGTTTGCTCTAGAAGCTGGAGCCCAGGTGCCCATGCTGCCAGTGCAACCCTCCATGGTCATGTCACCACCGTTGCAGCTGCAGCCAGAGCTGGTGCCGCCCTGCGTCGCTCCCGATGGCATTGCCCAGGTCCATGGCAGCCTTGCCACAGCTGCCCCACCCGCCCCCATAGAGCCTGGCCCGCCTCTCCAGCCCTCTGCTCTGCTGCAGCTCCAGCCTGATCTTTCCCAGCCACTGGGCCAGCAGCTCCCAGCTCCCTGCTCAGCTGTCACGGCAGCCACAGAGACATCTCAAGAGGTAGAGCCTTTCCTCTGAAGTAACTCACCAGCCTCAGCCTTAATATTCTTCATTACTCCTATGTGAAACAACAGGCTTGTTGCACAAGGGAGGTTATCCCCTTAGTATGTCGAGCTGCTGCTCCTTGATGCCAGCAGCTCTGGGTCAGCAAATAATTGGCTATTCCAAATGAACCTTAATGTTGTAGCTCAAGAAATGTCTCACTGAATTCATGAGGCAGCAGGACTAAGCACCTCCTTGTCCATAGCTGAGCACAATCACAGAGATAGAAATCAAGAAATTCTCACTGGGTAAGTTAGAAGTTGTTCTGTAGAGTTTGACCCATGTTTTGTCCAGTCTTGTTTTAAATGTCTCAAGCACTTGTTCAACCAACCATCACTTGCCTTAAGAAACTACTCCACAATCTGAGTCTCTGTATTGTGGAAGCCCTTCATACTTTTCAGTTTGAGTCCTATTCCCATTTCATTTAGCATTGTATCCTTGATGTCTGCTGTGGCCCTGTGATTTTTGTTTCTTAAGATACTTATAGGCATTCCCAATTCTCTGTGGTCACAGACACAGGATGCTTTTTATTGTTTTCTGTATAGAATTGTCAGCTCCTCATCTGCTATTTTGACTTTTCTTCCCACTCCCATAATCGTTTAATCTTCAGTCTTGACAGAACATCACAGAACATTTCCTTTTCTTCAGCTGCCTGTTAACAAAACAAAAGAAAACAAAAGCTTTGGCTTTTCTACCTGATTTCAGGAAATAAGTCTGATTTTTTTCTCCACTCCTGGATGGAAATATCGCTCTGTGATTCTGCATTCAGAGTGGTTCCTCTTGAGTCTCTGTTCTGAGTTATGTTTCCTCCCAAAGTATGTATTTCACCTTTTCAAAATTAAACTCTTGGTTTTGCCCATGTTTCCATGGCTTGTCACATGCCTTGACCCCAGTGCAGCCTGAAACTCCATTGGAGATACAACTCAATGCTGCCTCCAGAAGATGCTCCGGAAGGGCTGTGCTAACATTAAAAATGGATTCTAGTTCCCCATTTTTCCTGTCCATCAATGGCAGTTTAATTCTTACTGCATCAGCATTTCTGCTGTGATGTAGGATGTTTCCTGGTGAATATCTGTATCCTGTTGGTTTAGCGTAGCAGGAATGCTAGAGCCTGTCTATGGACAGGCTTCACCTGCAGACTCCCCAGAAAAGCTAGGGTGGGTCAGGCATATCCATGAGTGAAGGTATTCCTTCTCCAGCTATCTTTTTTCTAAATGCACGAGTCATGGCAGGGTCAGTGCTGGTGCATTCAGTGAAGGCTCCATTCCATTAGAGATTCTGGAAATATGAACAAACCTCTTTTTTGTACACTGTGATATGGGGGATACAAGTTCTCTTGAGAAACTGATGGCCACTGAGGCACACATCTGTTCTTCACATCTCATATCCCTCAGAACATTTAACCACTGGTTTGCTAATTTCATTCTCATGTCCATCTCTAAGTTAACCCCTTTCTCCCATTCACTTTAAGAAACGAAGCAAGTACCAATCCACATCCTCTCCATGCTGGTTTTCTGACATACATTGCTAAAGTTTCCTTGACTGTAAGAGAAGTTTCATACCTGTCTATATAATCAAAACACTACATTTTGTTGCTACTCTGCCAAGACATTTTTATCTCTTTTGTTGTGTTCAGGCACATGCCAGCACTTGCATCCAAACCAGCCTGAACCAGTCAGGCAAAAGAGGTTTTGTAAGGCACTTGGTTAAGTGCTTTACCAGAATATTGATACATTATGTCTGTGTTCTCACTGTTCATTGATATTGCAGTTCTATTGAAACTGTATTTAAGCTTGGCACGGCTTATGTATGGTGTTTACAGCCAAGGACTGGGCCTGGCTGGTTAGCTGCAGAGAACCAGTGGGGCCACCTGGTTAAGTGACACAGAACCAGTGGGGCTGACTGGTTAGCAGCAGAGAATCAGTGGTGCTGACCAGTTCCCCTCTGAGCTTTTAACTCCAGATAATCACTGCTTGAGTGCTCAGTGTAGCAGTGGCAGTCAAGGGGCTTGTTTCTAGCTATGCATCTATAGAAGGATTTTATAGCTGTGTTTCTCTAAATATATATAAAATTATATATATTTATGGGTGTGTCTGTTGCGCGTGTACATACACAGCTATATACATGTATGAGTGTGTGTGTGTGTGTGTGTCTTTGTGCATACATGGTAAATTTGTTACGGCAGGGCCTTCAGCATTGTCACAAATTCTGTGAGAATGAGTCTACCCAATGTGAAAATCATGCTATGATGTCTGTCCCAGAGCTGCAGCCAGTGAAGAGGGAAGCTTTTAGGGGAAATTCACATAGAGGACAAGAGGACATGATGCAAATGCGGTGTTCTTAAATGATGAATTTTCATCTTTTGTTTATAAGTTCCTCAGGAATTTTCCCACTAAGCTAAACACAATGAAAATACTGAGCATATTTCAGGAAACTATATAAAGCAATGAATCAAATTAGGAGATACATTCAAAAATAAAAGGCAGTGGGTGCTGATGTGGAATTGTCCCTCATTCAGGTTTTGCCACGGTGGTGAGAACTGCAGAGAACTGTTTTATTCCTTTCACCATCTCATCTGTTGTGGGCAGAGGAAGGGAACTGGCAGGTTAACATCTCTGTCTGAAAAAGTGGTTGGTGCCTTGGACAGAAATGATGTTGAAAGGGTAAAATAGGACATTTATTTTATTTCCAGGTTCCAAGAACTGGTTAAACAGAATGGTTTTAGAATTACTGGTGCCAACCCTTTCCTAAAGGTGTTTTTCATCTGCTAATATAATGTGTTTGCTTAAATTACTTTTTCTTGCATTTTAGGAGCAGGCAATACAGGACAAACTCCAAGCTCTGTCCCAGAGTTGCGAAAGGTATTATCACCTCTTTGGCATAAGAAATGCTTGCATTTTGGAGGCTGTTTTTTCTGATGTGATCAGGAGGAGAGGAGGACTGGGAGCATGTCTAGGGAGAAGCTGACAGTGTTCTGTGTGTAGTATGCCCATTCTGGCACTTGCAGCTCTTTTAATTCCTTAATTTGGATGAAGCATCCTAGCCTTGGTGTATGTACAGCTGTATGGAACTTCTCTTTTCCTCCCTCTACAGCAAACCTAACCTGTTTGCCCTTCTGCTGGGAGGGCAGAAAGACAGGAGTTGAGAAAAGCACCTTAGAAAACGAGGTGCAGTTCAAAGAGGGACTGTCAGGGCCCCTTAAGTGAAGGGATTAGGGGATGTAGGGATGTATTCAGAGTGATGGGACTAGAGTGATGGGACTTTTGCTGTGTTACTGCCAGAATGATTAATAGATCATTTCTTGGTAGGTGTTGCAGCCAGAGTATGTGGCTGGTGTAGAGTAGTGCCCTTCACTCACTGAGTATCTTCCAGTTGACTCAGTTTGGGCCAAAAAAAAGTGCAAATGTGCCCTTTTTTGCAGCCTCTCTTGTAGCTTACATGTGATGCATGACTCTGTTGTGTGTAACTCTGCCTTTATTTTGGGGCTGTTCTTCCTCTCCCTTGTGAAGCTACATGAGTCCAGATGTTGCTTCTGGTAAGGAGATGAATGACAGCTTGGAAGGAGCAACAGGAAGTGGAAAGCAAGAAGGAAAGTCTTCAAAGAAGCATAAGAAATCCACGCGTGCTCGTTCGCGCCAGGAGAAGTCCAGCAGACCCAAACTGACCATATTAAATGCAAGTAGAACCTATTGGAGGGTAACTCTAGGGTTCCTTTGGCTTTCCAGGAATAAGGGTTGTTGATTTCTGCATGCAGGTGTGTAACACAGGGGATAAGATGGTGGAGTGCCAGCTTGAAACCCATAACCATAAAATGGTGACGTTCAAGTTTGACTTGGATGGTGATGCGCCGGAGGAAATTGCTACTTACATGGTGAGATGTGGCTGCCATGGGCTCTCAGTGCTCCCAGTTGCTTCAGGAAGCTCCTCATGTGTGCTTGTTGCCTGAGCTGTCTGGCAGCTGTGGAATGAGGCATTAAGAAAAAAATGTCTGTTTTCCCCTGTTTCTTGATGTGGCTTTCTAGGTGGAGAATGAATTCATCTTGCAAAGTGAAAAAGAGACTTTTATTGAGCAAATGAAGGATATCATTGATAAAGCAGAAGATATGCTCAGTGAGGATACAGAAGGAGAGCGAAGTTCTGACCAGGGAACAAGTCCCCAGCAAGATGCAGATAGGCTGGAAATAAGCGAGGTAAGAAACACTAAATACAGATTGCTAGTTTGATTCCTTTTTCTTAACAGCCAGATACTTAAATTACTTTTGCATCTTGTGATAAAAAAAATAATAAGGTTTCTTAACTAGAAAAATAATGCTCTTGCTGTGTTAAACCTTACAATATCAGTGGGATGCTGGTCCTCTTGCACTGATCCAGCTATTTCTTCTGTTGTTTCTTTAACAGGAGAAACGTCAGTCTCAAATGAAGACACCTGTGTATCAGCAAAACGGTAAGAGTGCCTTTGAATTTCGAGTGGAAGGTGTCCCTACTCATAACAAGGAGTTGGAACTAGATGGCCTTTTGGTCTCTTCCAACCCAAACCATTCTGTGAAATTAAGACAAAGTCATGATCTGGAGACAATGGAAATTCATGTGTTGACTTGTTATTTTCTTTTCTTCCCTAGTTTTGCATACTGGAAAAAGGTGGTTTATTATATGTCCAGTGGTGGAAAACCCTACTACAGATGCCCCTGAGTTTTCTCCCCCAGTGCCTCCCAGTGCCCAGCAGACAGAAGGGCCAGGTATCTCTAAACTCTACAGAAAATGTCTTCTCCAGAGCTGCTGTGTTGTCTTTCTTCTGTCCTCACCTCACTTGGTTGTGATGCTTTCACTTGATTTAGTAAGAGGAAGAAAATGATTAATTTTGTTAAGCTGTGCATTTACATATGATCCTGGTGTTGAACCAAATTGGGAATCTTTATCTGAGTTTCAGTAAAGTGTCAGTATTTTAGCTATACCTTATGCTATGGTGTAGCTGAAATTCTCATCACTATAGTGTCTTTTCAGTGAAATATTTTTTGCATAATCTGAAAATTCTTGTTGGATGTATGTAACAGCTATTTGCTGGTGGGAATTGCTAATGGGTTTTCCCTGCAGCTGACCAGGGGGCTGGGCAACAATTTCCTTTCCTTTGAAGGTTGATCTTTTGCTTGTCTTCTCTCTAGACCTGGAGCAGTCAGATGACCAGCCAGTGAGCTCTGCAGTGACAGAGGCCCCTGGGCTCGGGGCTGGCCAGCAGCTTCCCCTGCACACAGGGGTCAGTGACAGCCCCCTTGGAGCCACCCTGTCCTTGGCACCAGCTCCTGTTGCAGCAGTTCCCGCCAGCATAGCGAGCCAGCCAGAATTCCCAGCTCCAGCCCCGCTGGCATCTGGCCCGAGCATCGCAGAGCCCGTGATGGCCGGCAGGGCTCAGCTGGAGTACCCCCAGCCCAGCCCCCCAGCCCCCCGAGCCTCGGGGCTGGAGGAGCCCCCCGAGGCCCTGGCCCCGCAGCTGCAGCCGCAGGCGGAGGAGCCGGCGTGCGTGCCCGACGTGGAGGTTGCCTGCTGCAGCGTGGGGCCGCCCGCGGCCGCGCCGGCGGCTCCGGGGCCGCTGCCCGCGCTCGCGGACGCCGCGGTGCTGGAGCGGCAGCCGGCGCCGCAGGGGCCGCACCTGCTGGAGGGCGGCCAGCCCAGCGCAGCGCTCCTCGGCCTCCAGTCCTTCCCTGCGGCCGCCGGCCCCGACGCGCTGGGCCTGGCGGGGTCCCAGCTCCAGAGCCCCACTCAGATGCCGCTGGCCGCGTCCCAGCAGCTGCCGATGGCGCAGGGCGGCACGGGGATGGCCGGGGCGGGGCTCAGCCTGCTCCAGCAGCAGAACCCCCCCGGCACCGCTGAGTCTGATGGCGAGGGCCCCCCCAGGGTGGACTTCGTGGACAACACGATTAAAAGCCTTGATGAGAAGCTTCGCAATTTGCTGTACCAGGAATATGTTCCAACTTCTTCAGCATCAGCAGGGACGCCAGACACCTCTGTGCCACCCGAACAGGGTGACGGTGAATTTACCTTATCCCCTTTTCCCGAAGAACAAGCTCCTGCCCCAGCGCTGGATGGGAGAGAACAAGGCTATAGCATCCCGGACACCGGCCAGGAGGTGAAAGCTGCTGCTGAGCCGCTGGTGCCCCTCATACCCTTTGAGGTCTTGGCTTGCCCACCTCTGGTCACTTCCCCCCTGGCTCTGCCTTTCATCCCCTTAAAGCCAGTCTGTGGGGCTGGCCCCATGGCAGAGCTCAGGACTCACTCTCCTGCGGTAGGACAGATGTAGATCTTTTGCTTTCTTAAACATTTCCTATCTCTGCTCCAGGGTGCGTTACCTTTGCCTGCTGACTGCTTTCCAGTGTGAAAGCTCACTTAAATTTTTCTTGTTAGATGCATCCCAACTCATTTTTCAGAAATGCTAGTTAGTGAAAACCAGATTTTCCTTTTGGGTTTAGAAGTTGTATAATACTTTAATTCATCTCCTCTTGTGTCCTGTCCAAAGCAGGCAGAAATGTGTCAATTTCTTTGTAGTTTAAGAATGTAAAACACATGTGTGGTATAGTCATTCTAGTTCTAATGAAGGCGATTTTGCTTCGATTTTAAGTATAAACGAATGATTGCAATTACTGCCTTCGAAGTCAGCCTGGATAAAGCAAACACTTCAAATACCTTTGCCTTGTCCACATGCTGCAGCCAAAGATAGACATTCCATTGGCAGGAGTTTCTTCTGTTTCCTGTAATAGTTTCTTTTGTCTTCTCCTGAGCTTGGTAGAGCAAGACTGCCACAGAAGCCTCCAAAGAAAGAGGTAATAGGCAGCCTGGGGCAGTGGATATTCTGTCTCAGTTGAGTCCCCATGTTAGGTTTTTTTCAGCTAAAATTCCAAGTTTATGAAATCATCAGATTTGCTGCACGTTGTGCTAGATCAGTGTCTATTCCAGGCCCTGGCACAGGTTACCCAGAGAAGCTGTGGCTGTCCCATTCCTAGCAGTGCCCAAGGCCAGGTTGGATGGGGCTTGGAGCAACCTGGGATTAATGGAAAGTATTCCTGTACATGGCAGGGGAGGGAATGGGATGAGTGTTGAAGTTTTTTTCAATCTAAACCATTCTGTGATTCTATATCTTACTCAAAAGTAGCATTTCTGGAGGCAACTCCATCCCCACTGGCAGGGCTGAGCCTGTTCTGTGTAGCATCAGCTGGAGGGACTCTTACCAGCTGCTTGAGAGGTTCTGTGTGGTATAGGAAAGCAGCTGTACTGGAGTGACTCTTTAGAGCGTGTTGTTTTCTAATGGTAAATGACTGTCTACAGCAAACCAAATTCTCTCTCTGTGGAAGGTGCTATGTCTCTCTAGTAATTGGAATTTGTCCTATTAAAATCTGTGCCAGTAAGGAAAGATACATAGAACTTCTGAAGACAGACGTACAGATGAGGAATGTGCAGTCTGGCTGGAAAAGCAAGCCAGAGCAAGGCCCCAAGCATGTGTGTATATATAATGTACTGGGTTTCCGTAGCTTGGGCTGCAGTTCCAACTGCGATGCTGCCACTGCTTCATTTCTTCCTCCTAGGAAGGAGGAAAAATGGGGGAGTTGGAGGCAAGACTTGAAGGCCACCTCCAAAGGCAGTGTGAAATAATTCAGTATTCACTGATAGTCCCAGGGCAGCAAGGGGAAGTGAGAGAAGAACACATTCTGCTTTTTGAGTGAGACTGAAATTGTGTTTCTTTTTTTCCTTTTACTGAAAGTTGAACAAGCCGGAAGTCACTGGTGTGACTGCTCATCCCTCAGAGCCAAGAGGTGGGTCAGCAGGCAGAACAGGTAATGCTCCTCCAGCCATCCCTGCTGGGTGTCAGTGGCAGGAGTGGGGCAGCAGCCCGTCCATGCCCAGCAGCCCTGTGTCTCTGAGACACCAAGGACACCAGAATCGTTTAGGCCTAATGTACTGTGCAGGTTTCGTTATTCTTCTGTTTTATTCCTTAAACATTTTTAACTGAGTAATGAAATTCCACATGACTATTATTATTTGAATTAGTGAAATAACTAGATCTGCCAACTTGCAGGTATTTTATATTGTCATTGCTATCGCCTCCTGCATTTTCAATCCTGTATTACAAAGGTTGGGCTTTTAAATTATTCCTCAGTGGTACACTTCAGTTTATCACAATAAAACATTGTCTTTTATTATCTTAAAGTAGTCCAGACATAAATATTCTTTCCCAACTTTAAATCAGGTCCAGCCACAAGCATCGCTTCAGCTCCTGCTGCTCCAGCTAAAGGCCTCCTTCAGGTAACCAGAACTAGGAGTGGTTTTCTGCTTGATTGTTACAGTTCCTTTTGTTAAACTCTCTTATTTTTTCCAGGTTGCACCTCCATCATCAGGCACAGCTCCACAGACGGAGACTTTCCAGAGGAGCGAGGAGGCAGAGAGGATGACTTTGCCCACACATGCAGAGAGTGTAATGCGGCGAGCGACAGCAGATGGGGCGATGAGTAACTTCCACAGGGATGGCTCTGCAAGCTCTGGTTCCTATGAAAAACAGGCTGAGGCTCAGGAGAGTGGCACACCAGCCAAAACCATTGGCAGGTTTTCAGTCATCAGCACGCAGGACGAATTAACTTTAGCAGCACCGCAGTGCTTGAGGTTCTCGGCGCCCCCAGACGTGTACCTGGACAAGCTGCCCTCCAGCCCGGACATGAAGGCTGCTGTCCGCAGGGTCCAGACGGCCTCTTCTGTGGACGTCCTGTGTGACCAGGCCTCGAGCGACTCTGCCGATGAGCCCTTCCCACGGCAGCTGGCGGCTGCTGCAGCTGCACAGCTCTCCCCCCCTAGCAGCAGCACAGCCACAGACTTAATCAAAAAAGCAGCTGCTTTCCTGCAGAGGTCTGCCAAAGGTGGCTCCCCTGGCCCAGAGTCGCCCAACGGGCAAGGTGCAAAGATTCCTACCATCAACATCACGTCCTTCCACTCACAGTCGTCCTACATGAGCAGTGACAATGACTCGGAGTTTGAAGATGCTGATATGAAGAAAGAATTGCAGAACCTGAGAGAAAAGTATGTTGAGTTGCAAGTGATGCGAGGGAAGCTTGTGTTACCATACCTTAGCAGCAGCTCAACTTAGGATGAGCAGAACTGTAAGGAGTAAACTGATTCTGGGCAAATCAGGCATTGCCAGGACCTTCCCCCTCCTCCTTCCTGCTTTTCATCACCTTATCTGCCAGTTCCAGTTGGAAGAATAACTCACAGAATCGCAGAACATTTTGGGTTGGAAAGCACCTTAAAGATCATCTCATTCCAACCACTGCCATGGGCAGGGACACCTTCTATTATATAAGGTTGCTCCGAGCCCCATCCAACCTGGCCTTGGAGCCAGAGACTCCCCCTTCCAGGGATGGGGAGTTACCACAGATAGATTGTTGTAGCTTTGCATACTTATGATGAGCAGCTGATTGTTTTATAACCAAGAACTGTTTTGTTTCTTTTACAATTCATTATGCTGCCAGGATATGGTGCTTTATTGAATATATTGCTAGCAGAGTCCTTTTATCTTTTTAGGCATATGAAAGAGATTGCTGAGCTGCAGACGCAGCAGAAGAACGAGATAGAGGCACTGTATATTCGCCTGGGGAAACCCCTTCCTCCCAACCTGGGCTTCCTTCACTCTGCCCCACCAAGCAGCAGGCGCCGAAGAACCAGCAAAAACAAATTGAAAGCTGGAAAACTCTTAAACCCTCTGGTCCAGCAGCTCAGGAGTGGAACATCAAGCACAAGTAGGTACACTAGGTGCTTCCCTTCACCTGTTGCTTGTGTCGGTTGTGGCTGTGCTGTGTGATGTCTGGGACTGCTGGAAAGGATGGAATTTTTGTTGGTTTTGAGCTAGCATGCTTTTGGACAGGCTTGTCCCAAGTCCTGGTGGCAAGCCATACACCTACCTGCTCTGCATTGCCTACAGAGGAATAACATTCCACTTTAATTTGGAAAACAGCCTGGTTACATCTCCTCCATTCTTCAAATGCAATTTACTAACGTTTGTATTCACTTCTTAGGTGCTGTTATGCTGTATTGATTAGGTACTGTATCTTGTTGTTACTTCCTTTTTCCTCCAAGATACCATATATAAAAGATGGGATTGCATTTGCTCCCCTGAAGGATGAGAGGTAAAAGCATTTACAAAACTGTGGTGGATGCTTTGACCATCTGAAGTAGTGTGAGATTTTCACACAGCAATACAGTCTTGAGTTTTTATCTCTTGGAAAAGTACTAAAATATAATTTACCTGGGGAAATATCAATAAACCCCAGTACCTATTTCTTCAGCAAAATGTAGAACAGAATATGCATAATTTTTCTTCACCTTAGTTTGTGCTGTTATTTGGGGGAGCAGCAGCATTTCCAGCATTCACCCTTTATTTCACACCTGTTGGCTCTTGTTTTCAGTATTACCACATTATAGGGCCCCTTGGAATTTTGTTGTATCAATCTTTATTGACAGGATGTTGAGGAGGATTTTGCTTTTAGCTAGGGATTTCAGCTGAGTTGGGAAAAATAAATGCATTCAGAGGCAGTAAGTTCTGTGGCCCATCTTGAGACTAAGTGTTCTTGCCCACAGGGATGGAAGCAGTGTTTGATACTCTCTGTACTTCTATATCTATCCAGATAGTTATATATTGATACTTATCTGTAGATATCTAGATAAATGTCTCTATATGTACTTTTGTCTATGCAAATTTCTCAGGTAAAGAGGCTTAAAAACCAAAATACCTTTGCAATCATGTGTTACATGAATTTATCAGTAGAAGTATCTAACAGTGGCAATGACAATTATACTCAAATAGCTATTAATAAAAAGTTCCTTGTGTGTTTGCTGAAACTTTTTATTATTCCCCATTGTCTTGATTTCACCCTTGGTGTGGGAAAGCAGACTTCTGTGTCTTGCTTCATCATTCTGTGTCTTCAACCTCTTCCTCAGCACCCCAGCAGCTCTCTTTATTCCAGCAGTGCTCCTTCTGAGGTGTCTGAAAACACAGAGGAGAAACTGTAAAAATCAAACCTGCTCCAGGAGCTTCTTGGAGAAACAGGATTAGTGATAGGAGGTGTGTATTATTTTCTGGTGCAGGCTTCCCCATAGTCTATGCTCCATCCAGTACTTCGGAATGGTGAACGGTTGTTCCTCTTGGGGTCAAGATACGGATTATTTTTAGGCAGGGATTTTTTATTCAGAGTTTTCCTAGCTTTTGCCATTGCATGTGTTGTGTTTGTTTGCTCTTTCAGGTAACCTTTCAGACTCTAAAGACTTGCCCCACAAAGAAAGCAGTAATTCGCAGCCGGGCTTCCCCGCAGCCGCCGCAGTGCCTCCCGGCGCAGCCCCCGCCTTTGGCAAGGCTGTGCAGACCCAGCAGCCCTGCTCTGTCAAAGCCTCTCTGTCGTCTGACATCTGCTCTGGCCTGGGCCCCGACGCAGCCGACGCCAGCACAGGCTCTGGCCAAGGTGATTCTTCCTGACGCCTGTTTCGTGTCTCTTCCAGCACGTGCTAAAATTAGTTCCCTTCCCTTAGGCTTGAACTTTTTAGGAGTGATGGAGGAATGTGAACCTTTGGCAAGTCCAAATTACTGGCTTATCTTTAAAAAGAGCATTGTGGTATTGCCAGCAGAGCAAAATTTAAGTATCTTGCTGAGTGTTACCAGCACTTGAGAAGGCGTGCCCCAAGACATCCCTAATTCTTAGGAAATAAATACCTTTCAGTTTTGCCAGCAGTGGCTTTAACCTAATACCTTCTCTAGAGTCTGCCTTACAGATTCCTGAGAAAAAATGAATGGAAAACAAATAAGATAGAAAAGCCTAGGAGAGTGTTTGCTTTGTTTCTTTTTTTTAGCCCCTTGATTCCAGTAGACCCCCAAGTTCCTCATTATAAACTACCAAACCGTCTTGGGCATGAGAGAAAATAAAAATGAAATTAAAAGAAAACCAAACACAGGGGATCAAGTTATGTTTCCTTTCTATGAGGGGTTCACTTTGTGCATAATTTTGGAGTCCCAGCCACAGGACTGTGCTCCCATGACCCCAGTTCTGAGACCTCTGTGTATTGCCCCTGTTGTAGGCTTTGACTGATCTTGTTGTCATGCATATGGGAAATTCCAATGATGATTAAAATACCTTCCTCTCATTGCACATCCTGCCAAACTAATCTACAAAATATCTATTTGTCCTCTTCTGCTGTTATTGCATCCTTTGTGTATGGTCAGTGAACTTGCTCCTCTTTGGCAAAGTTAAGGGGGAGATGTGGAGATTTAACTAACAAAGCTGATTTGACTGATGGTTTAGGACATCTGATCACAGCTACTTGTACTTTATAAGTGTCTTTGTTTTCTTCCCTTTATATTCATTTACAGGCTGGACGGTTTTCCACCAAACGTCTGAGAGAGTGACCTATAAATCTAGTAGCAAACCTCGTACCAGATTCCTCAGTGGACCTGTGTCTTTGTCCATCTGTTTGTATTTGTTCTTTTGTATTTTATCACAGTCCATCTTTCTTTTACCCCCTTTTCCCAATTCCATGGTTTATATCTCTAATATGTTTGGCAGGATGCCCCTTTTTCTCAGCCATCTTTTCTTTCTTTTTCTCTTTCTTTTAAGTAATCATCATGAACACACCTTATTTATATTAATTTTTCATGTGAAAGCTTTTTTTGCACTGCTTTTGGCTCATGCCTGGGCACCAAAAGCATGTGTGGAAGATCTCATCATTTATTATATATAGCCTGATGGTAAAATATTACCCTGGAGGTACCAAAGCTTTTGTACTTTATGTTCTGTTGAAGTAATTTTATTTGCAATGTGGCAAATATACATGTCTGCTGTCCCGGTTCCAGCGACAACAAAACGAAATCCATCCTTCTGTAGACGAATGGTCTCTTTCACACATGTTTGGACTCTGAAGACATGCATGTAGCAAGCTGATACAATTCTAGAAGGTCACTGGAGGGTATAACTTCCATACAAGGGCTGTATTAACTCGATATACAGTACTGTTTATATCCACTCTATTTTCTTTAATTTTTTTTCCCCGCTCTTTGCATGTGTAAATGCTGAGACAACAGTGCTCCAGCTAGTTCTTTCCAAATCTCTGTCCCAGGTGGGCTTTTCCCCCCATGCAGTCATTTCAATTAGTTTAAGTGAGCAATTTTTTTTATGGAGTCATAAGGCACAGGAAGATCTGGTTACTCTAAGGGAGAGTCCCATCAACTTTTTGTGTAAGCTGATCTGGCTGAAGCACTTGACTCAGTTTATTTTCTTATGACCTTATGTGACCTCAGAGATGAAGTCAATTAGCAGTTCATCAAAGCATAAATAAGTAAAAAGCAATATCAGATATTCAGATGATACTTGGAAATGGATTGCTAGGATCCAGGAATTTTGTCTCAAATAACTGTGCACCTTCTATTTGTACCCTATTTGTCTGACTTCTAAAGTAATTGGCAATTCCACCAAATGATATCAAGCTATTTAATGAAAAAATTAAGACTTTTTTACCCAATTGTAGATGCTGCTTTTTAGGCAAACAGATTTTGCTTGTACAATAAAGATATGTTGTGCTGAACAGGTACTATAGGCCACTTACATATAACCTTAGAAGGGCTGATAACGTTTTTGAGAAAGTGTTTGGTTAAGTAACTGTGGGTTTATAATAGTATCAGATCTCCCCTTGGAGTTCTGCTCTGTTCATTACTATCTAAGTGGGTCAGGTCAAAGGCACAAGACCACTCCAATACACTCCTCCTAATTTTATGAATAAACAGTATTTTAAGAAATAATCTAGAAATTTTTTCTTGTTTGAGCTCCCTGAAAGCACAAACACTCAGGTGACTGACGTTTACAGAATTTATTACCATGTAAGCTTTTAATGACTGGTGAAGTCATGAGACAATTTTGCATTTAGGGATTTTTTTTATGAGAACCTGAGGAGAATTCTCAGCTCCCAAATATTCCGGTTTGGTGTTATAATAGCCACAGTAATTTCTTCTTCTGCACATGTAATTCCCAGAAGATGTTTCTTTAATCTTCCATGGAATTACTATTCAGTAGGATGCAAAAAGTCTGGGAGATGGCAATTAAAAATGAGTGTATTAAAAATGTTTGGGTGCATGGATGTTGTGAATGAAACCAAAGGAATATGTAAATCCTTTGAATCGTGAAGTTTCCTCATGCTTAAATGACTAAGCATGACTAATTGCTTTCTGTTCTCAGCCCATGTGCTCTCTCGGGTTCTGGGTGAGTGCTGGGGGAGGTTTGGCCTCTCCCATCCCTGAGTCACACCAGGAGACGGGTGCAGTTCAGGCATTTATCTTGACACTGCAAACCTAGGGCACCCCTGAGGGTCCCAGTCCTGAGAGCACGGCTTGGCTGCCAGGGGAGCCTCTCACCTGAGGTGCCTCTCGCCTGAGGAGCCTGGCAGGTCCCCATGGCTGAGCTGTGGGCAGGTTGGGTGGGGCAGGAGGCTATTCCAGCTTGGTTTCCTGTGAGTGCAGCAGGTGGGATGTGTGTGTGAGTGCAGGACTGGGGCTGTGTGCATTCCTGTCCTTCCCCAGGGGGGCTGGGGCTGGGACAGCGGCTGGCAGAATGGAAGGCAGGATGTTCTGTGGAGCTGGGATCCAGAGCAATTGTGTCTGGAACCTCAAGAAGAGCAGTGCTTGAGGAGGGCCGGGTTGGATGGAGCTTGGAGCAGCCTGGTCTAGTGGAAGGTGTCCCTGCCTATGGCAGGGGTTTGGAACAAGATGGTCTTTTAAGGTCTTCCATCATGAACCATCCTTTGATTCTATTAGTTGAAGGTGATAATGTTGGCAGTACCAGCTGGCTCATGCTCCTTTCCCTCTGGAAGGGACGTCAGTGGACCCAGCAGGCAGGCAAAGCCAAGCATTTCCATTAGGTTCTAAGTGTGTTTGCATTCATACCCCATCCCTGGAAGTGTCCCGGGACAGGCTGAATGGGGCTTGGAGCACTTAGGATAGTGGAAGGTGTCCATGCCCATGGCAGGGGATGGAACTGGATGGGCTTTAAAGTCCCTTCCAACCCAAACCATTACAGGTGGGAATCCATCCTCTGTGCAGTTGTAAAAGGCTGGGACACAGCTGTCCAGTGCCAGCAGCTCAATGGCACCTCCAGACAGGTTTATCTGGTATTTTTTTGTTTGAAAGCTGCTGGGAAACACTGTGCTGCATTTTCAGAAGTGCTCTGAATCTGTATGTTTGGTTAAGGAAAACAAGCCCTTTGGCAAGGTGTGGCATATGCCAGCAGGAGACCTGCTGCACTGGCAGAAAAGTTGGCGACAACATTAAAAATAAATGTTCAGATGGATTAAAAACAGTATCACAAGGATCTTGCTCTGGTTACAAGATCCATAGGACTTGAACACTTTCACAGTGTTCTGCAGGACATTTTGATCTGTTGCCCGTGTCCAATATTGACTTCACCTTTGTATGTTTCATGAAATAAAATATTTTTTATGGGCTTTGGCATAATTTTATCCTGAGTTCCTTTCCTGGGTTAAACTGCAGGGGTGCCCTAGGGAAGGGTTTTCACCGATCATGAGTGGAATTTTCAAAGCTCCATTTGGCTTAGGCTTGGAATGTTGTGTAATGCAATTTTTGCCAGGTTTGTAGCAATTAATGTACTGTATGTGCATATGCAATTATGGAAATGGTCAAGCAGTTTATTGCCATTTCCATTTTTTTGTAGCTTTCCAGCTTTATGGCAGCTGTTAGTGCAAATATGGGACAGTGGATTTTTTCTGTTCTGTATGATATAATTGCTATTTAATTTCTCAGATAAGAGATCTGGAATTGGAGGTAAAATGCTCTGCTGAACTTTCACAATCTTAGATTAAATCTTAATTACAATTCATCTACTTTACTGTTCTTAAACATGTTAATTTTAGCAGTAATACAATTTATCGGGTGAATTAGATCTACAAAGTGAATTTTTAATTGAATTTGAGTTCATAACCAGCCGTGGCTGATAACTGTCGGTCCCTGCTTGAGGCAGCCTCACCACTTAGGGAATATTTCCCATCTCCCAAGCCCCACACTGGAGTGATGCTGCTGGAAAGAGCAGCTCTCTTCTCGGTGCCTGACTCTCCTGTGATATTTTCCTCAGAGCTGGAGCCCCTCATGCAGATGTATCATGAGTGTGTTGAATATTGTTGCTTCTGCCACTTCCCTGGGTCAGATTTGTCACCTGAGGTGCTGGGAAACCTGTGCCTGGGTGTGCAGGAAACAGAGGAGCTGGCAATGAAGGTGTTTTTACACACATTCAAGCAGGCCTGCTTTTATTTCTCGCAGGCAGGTGCTTTTAATGTGCATTCTTATTGTGCTAAGAAGTGCCTGTTGCTGCAGGAAATAGCAGGAAATAGCCTCTAGGATTGCTGCCGTGGCCACTGCCTTCCTGGGGACTTGTATCCATTGTGGGAATTGATAGCTAACTTTGGGATAAGCAAGGTAAGGTATATCTGAGGGAAAAGAAGGTAAAACATTTAAGAATACAAGACAGATGGTTGAGTTGTGAATGTGACTGTGTTTGCTATCTGGGCTTTGAGATGAGACCTGAACTTGGTCATGCTTGTGTTGTTGTAGTCATGTTCTTCTGATTTTCTCAGGGTAGAAATCCATATGAACTATATGAAATAATAAGAAATTCTTTCAAAGCAGTCCTCTGTTCCTCATGCCACCCATATGGAAGCACAAACATCTCTTCTCCCTTACTTCCTCCTTCCCTCGTTTCTTTACTTTCTCTTCCTTTCTTCTTCAGTCTCTGACTGAAATCGCCTCCTTCTCCTCTGAGGACTCATTCAGGGCCTGTGTCAGCCTGGACCTGCAATATCTGAGTTTAAAGCTGCATTTCTGGCACAGTAACAAAATGTTACACCACTGTTGACTCTAGAGAAAAAGCACATCATCCTCTATCTTACTTTTTTTGCCCCAGTCTGATTTTGCTCATGGTTTCAAGTGCTTCTTCCCAATGAACCCATCATAGCCCATGTCAGACACTCATCCCCCCCATCCCATAACAATATTCTTCTTATCAAGTCCAAAATACCTTTCAGGAAATTCTGGCACCCAAATAGCAACAGTGCCAATGTCTGGCAAGATCTGACAGTCGAGTCGGGGTCTCGGCACACTTCTAGCACTCTGCTATCTATCAACAGACTGTAAAATCGTGATGAATGATGGAACGAGACAATAATTTTAAAAACCAACTAGTTTAGTTAAATTAAAACTCAACTACCCTGACGGATTATTTTCTGCACTTGGACAAGACATAAGGGAAACTCATTCACAGTTCCATTCAATTGAAGTTCAGAGTCTCACATTTAGACACAAATCCTACAAATAAACTATTTGGAAACAATTGGCCTCAGACCTGCAGAACAATGTATCTTTTTGGACTTGTAAAACAAGATTTTTAGGGTTGTTATATGGTTTGTCTTTGCAGCCAGACTAGCTTGACTTGTTCCTGAAAGCATTTTTGGCCTCCAATCACAAACTAAATTGACATTATTTCCTGCATTAATAGGAAACAAATCAAAACCTTCTATTAGGAAGCCAAGGCAATTTGGGGAAAAAAAACAGAAAAAGAAAATCAGTTTAAAAAAATTTTAAAAACCAACCAACCAAAAAACCCAAATGCATCTTTAAGTCACTAGCCCTTGCTTTTGGCATGCTGTGGTACTTCCCAAAGCTTTTGAATGGCTGCACATTAAGAAAGGTTTGAGCTGTCCAGTTATTTAGGCTTCCTTTACTCACCTGAACTGCTGACTTTGTCTGTCCTTTCTTGCATAATAACTACTTTTTGATTGCTTAAAAGTACAGAAGCTTGTCCGTCTGATTTGCTGTGTTTAGTCTTACCTAATTCTGTGTGTCTTGTATTTACCTTGTAGGGTCCACCTTGAAACGACTATGTCTAGGCAAAGATCACAGTAGTAGTAACTATCCCATTTTTGTTTATCAGTATTTCCTTTATGGCATGGGATGTTCTTTGCTTTTTTATTATTATTTTTTACTAAAAGCTAGTTCTTTAATAACTACAGTTGATGCACTTACCAGAAGCTAGACTGTATAAATTATGATACTTTGATAGTGATGCATGTGCTGTGATGTCTTGGGAACCTTGCATGCTGCAAGAGTCGTGGTGTTCTGTGTGTGAGACCGTGCACGCATGCAGCCAGGAAACTGGGTCCAGTGTCTGTCTCTGAAATACACACCTCTATATGACTGCAGTTCTCTGCTGGAGGAAATGATAGCTTAAAACCGTTCCAGCCCCCTTGAACTGCATGAAATAATAAACACCAATTGAAGAGCTTTCTTCTAAAAATCCTTACTTCTCTCACTTTTACTCCAAGTAAAGAAAAAGGAATTGAGCAGTATTTACTTAGAAGTGATGTTGCAGGTTGAATGCATGATCATTTAAAGGTTATTAATGTATTTTATATAACTGTAGGACTAATTAGTGTACTCGGTTTCATTGGCTGGTAACCAATCAACAGAGAAAATACTCCATGTTCATGTTTGCTTATATAATCATTTTACTACAGTTCTGTGAACTTTTTGCTTGGAGAGATGGTCTTCATTTCCAATCTTTAGCTGTCTTCAAGTATGTTAGCTGAGAAGTTACTTTACATTTTCTACTTAGGTCAGATTCAGGCTCCTTCAGTTGCAGTCCCCTGCTGAGCTTGCTGTGTCAGACTTGTAGTCACTAAGCAGAAAAAGTACAGATTTTTTTTTTACTAGTTCTTCTAGAAAGAAGTGAACATACCAAATTAAATTTCTATCAATACTCTTCCTGACTGCTTTTATCTATACCAAAAATTCTCTGTCTTTTTCTCAAACAGTCACCCTGCCCACTATACTCTCTTCTCTCTCTTCTATACTTTCATGGTCCTTATGGGGTTTTTTCTCCCAGAATACACAAATAGCCATGTGAATGGTCCTGGCATCATCGAGAGAGGTGGTGGGCTCCCAGAGGAGCAGGAACCAGCCCTGCTTGTAACCTCTGTTTCAATAACATTTTTCCAGGAGGACAGTTAACTTAGGCAAGTGAAATAAATGGTAAATTCAATTTATAAATGCTTGCAGAGTTAGCAATACATCCCACCTCCCTCTTTCTCATGGTTGTGTCTGAGGAGATGTTGTATGGGATGTCAGCTTTATGGGGCTGCATTCCTGGCTTTACTCCCTGTCTCTAATTTCACGCAAGACAAATTAATAGCTGAGGTAACGTGATAGAAAATGCAAACCCACTGGACTTGGACCATTTCTTTAAGCAAAGGTGTTCTGCAGCCAGGAAGGGGAGGGTTAGAAATCTGAAAAGCCAACTTTGGAGTGGCAGTAGGTGAGAAGGGGTTTGAGGTGCAGAGGTGAGGCAGAGACACCATCTCAGCTCTCTGTGTGATTTTCCAGGATCCTCGACCAACAGCCTGGTGACGTGTCCTGAGCCCCTCCCACAGTCAACACTGCAGGTTCAGGCCAACAACAGTAACAACAAGAAAGGGACATTCACAGACGACCTGCACAAGCTGGTGGACCAGTGGACGAGCAAAACTGTTGGAGCTGCACAGACAAAACCTTCTTTGAACCAACTGAAGCAGAACCAAAAAAGGCAAGACATGGAGCCAAAGGCTAACCCCATGCAAATGCAGAATGAGACATGTGGAGTAAGTGGCCCTCCTTGAAGGACATACCTTTTGCTATGTGTGTGACAGCCTTTGCAGAACTCAGATGTGGAGGAGGACATAGACTAAAATTACTCCAGATAAATGCTTTCTATAAATGTCCAGCTCTTTTCATTCAGTACTAAATCAATTTTTTTAATTGTCCTTCGGAATCATCTTAAGGGATATATGGGCAGCAATATATATATAAATATATATTTTAAAATTCCAAACTGCTTATTACCAGTGATGCAGAGCAGTACTCCTATCATTATAATCTGTTGCTCAACTTCAGTTTCAACTATTACTAAAGTTTTCTTTTTTATGTTTAATATTAACCTTTCTCAGAGCAGGGGCTGGTGGCTCTGTGGTTGGGAGCTGTTGTTTGAGTGGAATTGGAGTGAGTCCTGTGCTGGGAGAGGGGACAGCTGGGAATATGCTTAACCTTTGCTTGTTGGACAATACTATCCTCAGAAATGCTTTCAAAGTATCCTACAACAAAGAGGGAATTGGAAAGCCCCCACTGGTCCCTTTCTGTTCTCAGAACAGAACAAAGCCGTTGCAGGTGCATCGTGTCTGCGTTCAGTGCTACTGAGGGCTGATACAGAGGCAGCACAGCAAGGAATGAGCACACATCCAGAGTCCCAGTTCACCATTCTGGCCCACCCTGGTCTGGGTTTCCAAACCTCTTCCTTCTGCCAGTTGGAGATTCTTTGACTAGTAATTTTTGCTGGGTTCATTTTCTTAAAAGACTGCAAATGGAGCCAAAATAGAGGAAAATAACAGTGAGGAGCTGTTTTGTAGTCCCCTAAAAGCAAGACAACTAGATCTGAATAGCAAACCACTGCCTTTTTGGGATGTAGAAGGAAAAAATCCTGTAGCAGTAGTAGCTCTGTAGCTGTTGGTGAGGTGAAAGTACCAAAGGAGGAACCTCACCAGTGTGTCTGCTTTGGTACCTGCTGCTTCCTGAGTGAATAAATAAGCCTTTTACTCAGTAATGCTTTAACCAGCTCAGGAGTAAGCAATGTCTACTTAAGACCCTAACAGTTTTCATAAAATAAGTCAAAGTTGGTGCTAGTAAACCCAAACTAAAGATTTCCATAAAGGGGCAAGGAGGGCACAGATTTTGTTAAGTCACTTCTTACTCTCTTTTGATACACTTTTTGCAGCATTTTGGTGTCTTTCCTCTGAGACTGCTGCAAAAGTTTGAAGTATTAGACGTGGATGTTTTGCCCACCTGTGTCTCTGGAAAAACAAGTGGTTATTTTACTTATTTAAATCACCTATTAGTATCAATTTTTTTTTTGATTTTGCCTCCTGCAGTCTTGGTGTCTCTGTCTCAAAGCCTGTGGAGAAGGCAGTGCGTCACTGTGAGAGCAGCAGGAATGTCCCTGTCTCAGTAGACTGGATCTTAGAGGGTTTGTGTCTTTCTCAACTGTGGCAGTTGTTCCAGGGAATCTGCAGAGCTGACTGAAGTTTTTTGGAGGCAATTTACAAGGAGCGTGGAGAGGCTGGGATTCCCTGCTCTTCATTTTGTGTCATTCCTTGTTGTGTGGAGGAGTGGTGTCAGCTGGAGCCCTGGGGTGGGTGAGACCTGGGGTGGTAAGGGGCATGAAGTCCTTGTAAGGACCGTGTTGGCTGCAGCAGAGATGCAAGGGCAGATGGCAAACACTGCTGGTGTAGTTTTTGTTGAGTGTTTTGACCATGAAGATAGCATAGGATGCTGCAAGTGTCAGGCATGATATAGAAGAGTTTGACAAGGATTGGTTTGGGAGTTCAGCATTGTTTTACTGTTTGTACCCTTCAAAATTGACCCTAACAGGGAACTTGAAGTTGAGAGAGAAGAGGGCTGCATGGTGTTGGGAGAAAAATGGCCAAAGGAGGAGGAAGGGAGCAGCATGGGAGGACTCCTGGTGTGGACAGCTGGACAAGTGGCCTGTGTATTGGAGGGATGAGCTCCACGGGGAGATGTCCATGTGCTGAATCACAGCTAAGTCAACTGGAAAGACAAAAGAACTTGGGAAATCACATAAAGGATGTAAAAAATAGCTTTCCTAGAGAGAGAATCTGAAGCTCAGGCTGTACTTCTTCAGTTCATCTGGTAACACCGTCTTTTGTCACCTCTTTTGATCAAAAATGCCTTTGCAAGAAAAGACTAAGGAGCATTAAGCATATTTCCAGCCCATCAGAGAAGGTTATAAGGTTTTATGTTGGACGTAAAGGCTGGATAAGTAGGAAACAAGGTGATTCTTATGCCTTTTGTGGTTTGTTTTTTTTTTAACTGGAACAAACTAGTATGGAGCTGTTAGGGTGCATTGTCTCACATGGGTTTAGTTTTGGGAAAAGCTGTTGTTTTGGGGAAAGTGGTCCCTTGTGATGGCCAGAAATGAAGGGCTGGGGGTGGCAGGATTTGTACCTTCACTTCTACCTTGTCTCTGGGGATTTTTGTAAAGAGAAATGCCTCCCTAAAGGATTTCATACAGGAGTAGGAGTGAAGGGAGTTGTTTCACGATGAAAAATACATTAAACAATAAAACAAATACAAAATCTTAACTATACATTTAAATAGAAAAATACATTTTTTACTTTAAAATTTTCTCTTACTGTTCACCCACTGTTATGAATATGAAGGGCAGTTGTGTGGCTGACTCAAAATCTTCTCTTTCCTCCTGGAACAGAGGACGCACTTCCCTGAATTATCTCTTTTTTACTCAAGACTCCTTCTACCATTAGCAGCAAATTGTTTGCTCTGTATAAAATGTATTTTTTTAACTAAGTGAAAGCTGCTCTTTTAAGGCTGGAAATAGAAGAGAAACTGGTAATGTATTTAATAAGAGTGAGTGGTTTTCTTTTCATCCTCTGCCATCAGAGGTGTAGACAGCAGTAATATAATTGGGATGTGAAGGAAGACTTCATATTCTGCTTTGTTTCTATGGAAGTTACCAGTCCATTTGCATGCAAATCCTGGTTGATCATATTAGAAATCTGAGTGAAACCTTTCAAAGGGAGAGGAACCTTCATCCAGTTGTGTCACAGGAGCATTAAAATGTTCCTTTTCAAATGGTTTTATGAAGCGTGGAAATGCAGGTAGATTCTCATCAGCAGCAGTTTGAAATGCAGTAGGAAATATTAGAAAGAACTGAGGTCAAACCGCCTGAGTGATTTCTCTCTGTGATCTTTGTGAAGATATGATGAAATAATCATTTTTACAGGTAATTTTGGTTAGCATTAGTGAAGGAATAAGCTTAGGAATATGAGCTGCCTTCTGTGCAAAGAATACCGAATATTGTGTACTTAAAAACACTATTTGGAAATGCCTTCTGTGCAAAGAATACCAAATATTGTGTACTTAAAAACACTATTTGGAATTGCTGAAAATGTTTTCTATTCTCCATGTGGTGTGTAGCTCCACAGGTTTTACAGAAAAAACATTATCCCCAAAAAGCTGAAACATGTTCCCAGTGCATAGTGAGGCTGTTTCTGAAAACACACAGGTCTGTGTCACTGGGTGATGGGCACTGGGGGCTTGGACACTTCAGCAGCATCTGAACCTCTGCTGGCATTTTCTGACCCGTGGGCTTGGGTGTGCTGCTGGGAGCAGTCAGGCTGGACATGGCCACAATGCCAAAATCAAGCCATAGCCCCTTCACTGTGTCTTCCCTCTCTGTTGGATTGGGAAAATAAAAAAGGAATCTGTATTTGAAACTATTCAACACTTCTTGGTCTGAATAGTTTTCCAGGGATTGGAAAAGCACACACACATCTCTTCAGGAGTGCCTAAAAGCTTTGGGGTTTCAACAAACTGGGCAGAAGTGATAAAAGAGCTATCCATCTCTTTTATCATGCTTACCAGCTCTAACTCTGCCCTGGGACTCAGTTTCGTTTCAGCGGTAGCTGATCCATACAGAAGGAAAACACTGATGCTAATGGGGTAGCAAGCAAAAGAAAAATCATCTAAATCCTGCCTTTTCAAATGGGTTGTGATAGTTATGGTCAGCTTTCAGAACAGAATTACCGGGATTCCTCTGTTCTGATATAAACCAAGAAATATTAATGATGATGTTAAGTCACGCCCAGTGCTTCGCTGTGTAGTTTGACAGTACTGGAGCTGTGATTATCACTAGGGTGGCGCTTTGAAGTTTGCCTGGTAGAGCACAGGAAAAATTATAAAAGTCCAAATAACAGATTTGGGGTATTTGAACTAGTTTTTGTCTTGTGAGGTTTTTCATTTTTACCAGTGTTTTCTGGTATGTTGTTCTCTATGTATGTATTATTCTTGTTTTCTAAATGAGTTTGCGTGATTATTTTGGGGAAAGGGGAATAAACAGCCACAAAGGAAAAACTGTCAGGAGAGGGCAGATGTGGGGGAAGCAGGAGCTGGCAGCTGGTACCTGCAGGGATTTGTACAGGTGCTCTGAGCAGAGGTTTGTCAGTGCAGGCAGAGTTGGGTGTGTGCAGCTGAGGAGGTGGCACGAGCAGAGATTCGAGGGTGGCGGGTGGAGGTGCCACTGTCTTTCTTAGCTCAGTGAGTTCATAGCTCTTCAGCAGAGGAGCCTACTGGAGATGTAGAGGGAAGAGTTTCCCTTCTAAGCCCTATGATACATGGCACCCTGCCCTCCCGAGACCTCACCCTCAGGACTGCCAGCAGGTCAGGGCCCTCAGCACAGGGAGGCTGTGGGGATGCTGTGAGGGCTGAAGCTGGCCAGGCAGGAGTGATGGGAGCCCACGTGGGCTCAGAACTGCACTGGTGACCATCACCCCCGGCAGCTCGGGCTCCTCCTCAGGTGACCCCCTAACCATGGACACAGCAGTGTGCAGCACAGGGGCTTCCCTGGTGTCATCCCACATCAGCCTGGCTGGCTTGAGATGCTGAGCCAGTCCTGTTCAGGGCTGTGCTGTGATCCCAGCAGAGCAATGCACACAGCTCGTTCATCGCTGCCTGGATGTGTATCTGCTGCCCTTCGAACAGGACCAGCAAAGGAACTTGTAGTCCCATAGCTTTC